CAATTACTTTTGCACCAACCTAATAGTAGTATTCTACCAGTTGTAACAAACAAAAATGTCTCCAGATATTGCCAAAGGCCCGCCCCCAGAAGGGAGACGTGAAGATGTAAAACTAACCCCAGTTGAGAACCACTTGGGGTAGGTAAATATTTCTATGCTAGAACACATAAGAACACTAATCATTAAAACATTTTGAAAAACTAGGCTTCATTAAAATTAAGTCTATTCTCTGAGACACACTATTTTAAAAATATGTCACAAACTGGGATAAAACTATGTATATAATGAACTTGTATTTAGAATATATAAAGAACTTTTATGACAATAAAAATAAAGGCCATTAAAAAAATCAGCAAAAGATTTTAATAGACATTTCACAAAAGAACATGTATAACATGAATGAGCTCATAAAATGATCTTCATTGGTCATTAGGGAAATGCAAATTAAAACCATGAGACCACTATAAGATTGGCTAAATTTACAAAGATTAACAATATGAAGGTGTGGAGCAACTGGAACTCTCATACATTGCTGGTGAGAGTATAAAATGGTACATCCACTATAAAAAACAGATTGGCAGTTTCTAATAAAATTAGACTGCCTCCCACATGCTCAAGAATTTACCTAAGAAAAATGGAGACACAGGTTCCCCAAAAGCCTTCTACAAGAATTTTCATAATAGCTTTATTCATAATAGTCTCAAACTAGACGTAACACAAATGCTCACCAACAGTTGAATGGCTAAACCAATTTTGGTATAACCATACAATAAAACGAAAAGGAATAAAAAGGAACAAATCATGGCTACTTGCATCAACATCAACAAATCTCAAAAACATTCTGAAAGCAGACAGACACAAAAAAACACTGTATATGATTCAATTTTTATGGAAATCTAGAAAAGGTAAATCTAATCCATGGTGATTAAAAAGCATATCACTGGTTTCCTGGGGGCATGAGGAGAAAGATTCCCAGGGATCTTTTGGTATGATAGAAATATTCCGTATCATGACTGTGGTTGTGGTTGCACAGGTGTTGTATAAATGTGTCAAGACTCACTGAAATGGACTTATCATGGGTAATTTTTTATTATATGTAAATTATACCTCGATAAAATTGATTTAAAAAATTAAATGTGGATTTAAAAAGGGAGTTTAGTATGTAATGGCTATATGTTCAAACAATACAGATCTAGTACAACCTTTATAAAAAAAATGTTGGAGAATGGGAAGAGCACACAAAACAATTTTTTTCAGTAGTTTTCAGTAATCCTATTGTTTAGTAGTATTGGTACTGTTGCTCTAAGGCTGCTGTGAGTACAATGCAGGATAAAGCAAATGAGACACATGAGGGGTTTTTTTTCTTTAAATATGTATTTCCTAGCTCTATCCACCGACATAGTTTCAGAAACAATGACCAACCCAGCAGCAACCTGAGCAGCCCTAGTACCCAGATTGTCATCTTGAAATATCATTTCCCACTAAAAAGAAACAAGGGCTCTAGAAAATGTTTGATTCCAAGGTTTGAACAGAAAATGCACAAAATGATCCTCGAAGACTACTAGAGTGACTCAACAGAGCTCGGAAGCCAATATGGCAAGACTCTCATTGACCAAAATTGGTATTATTTGGGGTTCACAAAGGATTGCAGGGTACTGAAATCCATATGTGTTTAACTCTATGATTTAATAATAATATTTTTTTAAAAATTGATCACCATTGGAGAATAAGGAAGAATAAATTGATTTTTTCAAAAGTGGTATATGAAGGGAGAGAATCTAGCATTTACTTTGCTACATTTTAAGCTCCACAAACTGGGAAACTAAATAGTAGATGAAGAAAAGCATATCTTTATTCTAACTAATCAATGATGCAATTAAAATATCATAATTTTGTAACCCCAATGGATGAATGCATCCAGGCATTGAGCATCAAAAGCTCAGGTGGTTGGGGAGATGTTGGTCAAAGGATACAAAATTTCAGTTAAGTAGGAGGAAAAGTTCAAGAGATTTATTAAACAACCTGGTTTAACAACAATACTATATTCTTGAAAATTGCTAAGAGAATAGATTTTAAGTGTTCTCATCACAAAAAAATAAGTATGTAAGGTAATGCATGTTAATTAGTTCGATTTAACCTTCCCACAATGTATATATATTTTAAAACATGTACATGATAAATATATACAATTTTTACTTATTAATTTCAAAAAATAATAAAATTATAAAAAGAAAAAAAAATTGGTAACATACATAGCCCATAAAGTTTTATATTTGGAATACACAAAGAACTCTGACATATCAATAAGAAAAAGAACAATCCAGTGTAAAAAGGGCAAGACTTGAAGGCATTTTCCCAAGAAGAAATGACCAATAAGCACATGAATACATACTCAGTCTTGTATATATATATATATAGCACGATTACCTCTTGATTGGCTAAAACTAAAATGACTGTATCAGTTGGCATGGCGGATGTGGAGCAACAAAACTTTTTCACACTGCTAGTTGGAATATAAATTGACATAACCACTTTGGAGAACAGGTTGCATTATCTATTCAAGTTGAAGATACGCATACCCTATGACCAAATGATTCCACTCCTAGTTATACAGACAGTTCCCCACTTATGATGGTTTGACTTACAATTTTTCAACTTTATGGTGGTATAAAACTGTCACCATTTAGTCATAATGTACAGTATTCAATAAATTACAAGATAGTCAACACTTTTATTTATAAAATAAATTCTGCTTTCGATGATTTTGCCCAACTGTAGCCTAATGTAAGTGCTCTGAGCACATTTAAGGTAAGTTAGGCTAAGTAATGATGTTCAGGAGGTTAGGTATATTAAATGCATTTTCAACTTAACAATGGGCTTATTGAGATGTAACCCTATTGTAAGTCAAGGAACATCTGTAAATCCAAGTGAAATGTGTGCACATGTGCACTAAGAGATATAATGTACTACTATACGTAGTAATACAATGTAGAGTATAGTAAAAGAGTAGTGCTTAGAATAGCTCCAAACTGGAAACAACCCATATTCTGATCAAAAGAATAAATTATAGTTTATTCATAGAATGGACAGAAATCAAAATGAATGAACTACAACTACAGACAACATATGAATCTCACAAACACAATATTGAAGTGAAAGAAGGAACGCACAAAAGGCTTCCGTTCACATAAAATTCAAAATCAGGCAAAAGAGAGGTAGAAGAATTACAAAAAAAAAAAAAAAAAAAGTAGAGAAATTATCACCACCAAAGCTGAGATAGTGATTTATTCAAGGAGGAAGGAATGTTATTATCTGGTAAGGATACATAGGGGGCTTTTGGGTTACTGGTAATGTTTTATTTCTTGACTAGAGTAAGAGTTATACAAGTGTTTACTATAAAAGTATTTGTTAAGCTGTATATATTTGTTTTTAATTATTTACCAAAGAATGTTACTTTGCTAATAAGCATTTTTATATTTACTCAACAAATATTTATACTGAGCACCTGAGCTCAGGTGTGTGCCAGGCACTATTCTAATCATTAGGAATATAGCAGTGAACAAAACAGTGCTTACATATAGGAGTACGGAGAAAGACAATAAATAAAAATAAAACATAGTAAAGGAAACACTGAGGGTGATATTATTTCCTATAGGGTAATCAGGAACATCTTTATAGATAGGTGACATCTGATAACAGAGACCTAAAAGGATCAAGGCACTAATCCATGCAGATATCTAAGAAACAACTTGGCAGAAAAATGGAAACAGTAAATGCCAAAGGCCTTAAGGCAAGATCACATTTGGAAATATTCAAGAAACACAAAGAGGTCAGTAGGTAGAAGTATAACATCTGAGAAAGCGATTTATAGAAGATGAAACTAGGTGATGGTAGAAAGGGAGAGATCATGTAGGGCATTGTAGAACTTCGTAAAGACTTCCTACGAAAGAAGGGAAGCCATTATAAACCAGTGAAATAAGGGAATATGCGTTATGTTTTAAAAACATCATTCTGGTCCTTTCAAAGGCATTATTAAAATAGGAGCAGCTGCCAGTTCCCTTTTCCCATAGAATAATATGATATTCCATTTGAGTGTTTTATACTTGTACATTATAATTGTACAGAGCAATTAAAAATAAAATTCTTCCTTTTATTTAGAAGAATCACTCTTCTGGTTCGTATTAACAACAAAATTCTACCTTACAAAGTACTTTTTTTTAAACAATAAAACCAATATCTCTGCTGCCCCCCCCAATTTATAGTGACTAATTTTATTTTTTTTAATTGTGGTAAAATACACATAAAACTTACTATCTAAACCATTTAAGTGTAGTGTTCAATAGTGCTAAATATGCCCACATTGCTGTTTATAGTGACCAATCTTAAAGACTTAAAAAAATTCATACTGGTATTTGTAGATTAACTCTACTACAAAAATATATATTAATAGTTATTATTTAAGTAGTATACTTTAAATTTTTCCTAGGCTCACTGAATGATGGTGGGGAACAAGGTAGGGTGATTAACAGGCTTTGCTAATAAATATGAATGATAGAAGTATCAAAAAAATAAACTCAAAGTTGAAATTTAGCATTTGGTGATTCGTTACCATGAAGGTAATGAACACAAGTTCATATGACTGAGTTCTAAAGGACCATTCCAATTTTTAAGAGACAAGATAACTTCTTATACAGCTATTCTTTCACAAGGGAAATCAATGGATCAAATCAAACTATTCATGTGAGTAAAATGTAATGCTAAAATACAGTAGTTGGATCATTAAAAAATACAAACACAAGTGGTTATCCTGTAGTACACAACTGTGAGATGTTAGTAGTTCTACTATTTTAATACATGATGAATAAAACACCCATGCAAAACTTGGTGTCTAAACTGATAATACTGTCAGTTCCATATGCTTTAGGCAGGCTCACCACACATTCTAGAATGCTGCTATTGCCTATCACTTGGCAGTTTACATAAGATGTAATTTCTTTTACCTCTGTGAAGAGACGGGCATCATCAGAAAGCATATTATAATCCTGTGCACATTTCTTTGCAGAATTCTGCAAAAACTTTAGGAACTCAGTAACTTCTTCATTCACATGTTTTTTCATATCCTGATTTTTAAAAAAGTAGACATGTCTTGGAATAAAGTTTCATTAAAAAACAATCACTTCTCAATCACTGCTCTAATAATTTGGACTTAAAAGAATTACAATATCAAATCCAGAGTAGAAACCACAAAGTTAACAGAAATTATATAATGATAAACTTCTGTTATAAAAAACTCCACAAAAATAGAGAAGCACATGACTAATACTGTAATACATGCTTAGTAATTAAGAAACTTACGTTATAAAATGCTGTCAACATTAAAAAAAGAAAAGACAAACACTCAATGGAAAAATGAGCAAACAATATGAATAGATGAGTTATGAAAACAGAAATAAAAATGGCTTATAAACACATGAAAAATGCTTATTTTCATTAGTAATCAATGTAAATTAAATTAATGTAAAGCAAGAGATCATTTTCCCTCATTTTGCCTCGAATTAGAGGCAAAAAAGATAATGTCCAGTATTAGTCAAGATAGTTTTTTTTTTAAAGAACTTTCCTAAAAGAGTGGTACAAATTGGTTTAAACTTTTTGCTGAACAATTTACTCATATGAATTACTGTAGATCAAAGTGTTAAAAACATGCACAGTCTTTGACCTAGCAATTTAATTTTTATGCATTTATCTTAAGGAAACAATCACAGAGATGTGAAGATTTTGATACAAAGATGTTCGGTACAGCACGATTTATATAACTGAGAATTTGGAAACTTCTTAATTGAAATAATACTTAAGCAATAATTAAAAATTGGTACAATAAGCTATGTAAAGTTCTACTGCTAGTACTTAAGATCAACTTAAGTGAGACATGCTCTGAAGTAGAGCAAAATGCCTGAACTATAATAGAACCAACAAAAGAATTAAAGCACCAATACGGTCAATTAAACTTAAATTTTCCATTTTAAAAAATATGACTGCGTTACTGAAACCTTAAAATCTGTACCCCCATAATATGCCGAAATAAAAAAAAAATGACTGCATCCAAAAACATAAATGTAAATTTTGAATAAAATATTTCCTAATTTTAAATATTTTTTTCTGAAGCTGAAGAATAGAATACATACCAAATACTGAAAGTAGTCATTTTTATTTATTCCAACAGCTTTGGAATTTGCAGGAAACTTTGCGTATTTAACCAACAAGTCCACATAATTCCTCTGCTCTCTCTGTGAGAAACGAGAGAAACGAGGATAAGGAACTCTTGGTTTTGGAAGAAGAACCATTCCAATTGTGGTTTTAACTTTTTCCTTTGCTTGAGTTGCTGAACTAACTGCCGGCTCATTTTCTACAGAACTTGCTGAGGCATTCAAATTTTCTCCTATACGTCTGGAAAAAAAAATATAATTTACAAATATGTGCTTTTCACATGAAGATTACTATCATGGAATTTCATGATTCTCAATCACTGGAAGAATACAGCATGATTAACAGAGTAAACTCTGGATTATTATCTAACTCTGACACCTGCATTTTGATATTTAGCCATTTAGTGTAGATTAAGTATTCTGCAGGATATGATCACATTGCAAACTTACCTTCGATTACCTGATGGAGAGGAAGAGGCATACTTATTAGACTAGTTATTCAATTTAGAAGTTTTTTCCTGTTATTGAAGAGGGGAAAATCATTCTTCCCAATTATACTTGCAAAATATGCAAGTATTTTGTGTTTACATTTTATTACAATGCTAGTTGTTTTTTAATGCTTAAACTCTTCAGTAAGTTGTATCAATTAACATGATGACCAAATCCACTAAGAACAGGATATAAAGGGAGTCACAAACTTGAAGTTAACAAATTCACTGAGATTCTAAATTTTCTGGTTTCCTTTACTCATCTCAAGAACTAAACAGAAAATTCCAACATTTTGCGTTACATTTTATGGAAGCAGTAGTGGTTTTAGAAAAGTTGTACAATCCTCTATCGCTCTTGTACAGGGCTGAGTCCATGGAAATGTCTTTATGCTTTTTATGTATGCAAAAGAAAAATTCTGGCATTATCTATAGGAAATGTATCATAAGAGAAGGCAGTGAATATCTAGAGAACCTGCTACTGTATTTCTTTATGAAATGTGTGAAAGTTGTCAGAATCAAAACAGAGTCACTAATATTTAAAAATCCTGAGAGCGCCGGGGAAGTCTACGAAGAGAAGGTTCTCACACTTGTATGCTGGACAAAAGACACTTCTGCAAAGACATCTGCCCAGCAACTGCTTGTCTAACCTTGGACTGGTGTCACTATTGTTATTGATCTTTGTAGCCAAGTATAATTATTTCAAAATAATTGTACTCTCCTCTTAATTTTTTCCTTTAAAAACCTTTATTTTCATTTACCTCCTTGAATATACATACAGTTTAATGGCATGTGTATTCCCATTGCAATGCTCTATTCCTATATAAAGCACATTTTTGTTTTCTTTTCTCTTTTCTTTTAGACAGCCTCTCTGTTATTTAGGTTGACAAATGCTACGCTTATTTTAAAAAGTCACCTTACCATCCCAATTAAGGTGTATGAATATAAATGTCTTATCTTGTTCATAATCTGCCTCCACTCTTGCTATTCAGTTATTATAATCTACATTTTTAATAAGATAATTTAGAAGCCCCCCCCAAAAAAAACTATTTTCTTCACCTCTACAAGGAAATTGTGCTTTTCACATGAAGATTACTATCATGAAACTTCCATCATAGTAACTATTCCTATGACTTGACTCCAAGTTATACAACAAAAATCCACAGATGAAGGGAAACTAATGATTCATTTGTCATCCACCACTCATTAATATTTATTGAGTGACTACCATGTGCCTGCCTCTACAAGGGACTGGGGATACAACTTTGAGCACAGTACACTCTCTGCTCTCCAAAACCTTCTAATCAAGTGCATTAGACAAGTGAATGGAGAAGAAAGAAAATTATGTATTAATACATCAATACAATGTGACTATGGTTAGGTTTCCAAACTGAACATATCAAATAGGTGCCTGAGGGCCGGGCGCGGTGGCTCACACCTGTAATCCTAGCACTTTGGGAGGCCGAGGCGGGCGGATTGCTCAAGGTCAGGAGTTCGAAACCAGCCTGAGCCAGACCCCGTCTCTACCAAAAATAGAAAGAAATTAATTGACCAACTAAAAAATATATATACAAAAAATTAGCCGGGCATGGTGGTGCATGCCTGTAGTCCCAGCTACTCGGGAGGCTGAGGCAGAAGGATCGCTGAGCCCTGGAGACTGAGGTTGCTGTGAGCCAGGCTGACGCCATGGCACTAACTCTAGCCTGGGCAACAAAGTGAGACTCTGTCTCAAAAAAAAAAAAAAAAAAAAATAGGTGCCTGAGAAGAATCCTAAAGACATCATGATTAGGGATTAAGAGGGAGAAAGGGAAGGAGGGAGAAATGTCCAGAGCAGTGGTTCTCAATCATGACAGTGTTAATTTCCTCAGGGCATTCTGGAAGCCTATAGGTGCATCTGGATTGTCACAAAAGAGAGGGGGATTAAAGGTGTTTAGAGGTGAGGAATACTAGATGCCTGGAATGTGTAGTACTACCCAATACAACTTTTCCGCCTTTCTCTTATCATATGCAAATAATTCTGGTCTGTTATTATTTATCCTAACAGTACATTTTATTCCCTTTTATTTTTTCTGTGATTCTTTTATAGTATTATTTATATTACTTCCCTTAAATACAATTTTATTCACTTTAACTGGTGTATCTCGTTACTTTATTATATCTTCCAGTATAGTGGTGTCTATGCATTTACATATTGAGACAAATGATTTTCCTTTTATTTCACATTTATGTATGTAGGATATTACGTTATTTTTTTAAAAAATTATGTTTGTGGTAATTATTATCTATTAATTTCATTTCAGTCTACTAAAGGAGGTATCTTATTTCTTATAAATATTTGTGAAAAAAATGGAAGGGTTTCAGCCTTTTAAGGCTGAGAATTACTAATTTAGATCTGTGTCTAGACAAAGGGTGAGTTAAGCTCCATCCAAAACTACCACTGATTTCTTTTAAATCAACTTTATAATACTAGAATAAATGTAAAAATTTCAAAAGATGGCAACAGTATGTCAGAAAAAGATTCAGATCTCCAAAATAAAACAAAATATTCAAGAACACTTTCCTAGAGCTAAACAATGGATTAAGAAACTAATCAAGAGAGCTGATTAGTGAATGGAAAAAGAATTTTGGAAATTAAAATTAGGATGCTTAGGCTGGCTCTGAAAATAATACAGGTGAAAGAAGACATACTTAGCTACTAAAGTTTCTCCAATAACTGTATAAAAATAAGCATATTTTAGGTTAACAAAATGAATATTAACTGCTGATCTTGGGAGAAATGTATTACAGCAAATTGATTTCTCACTAGAAAATGTCTTGAGAGCTATTCAAACCTAACAGTATTGTGTCTGCAACTCTTAACAATACTGCTTCACAGCTGTCTCTCTGAATATGAGAACATGTCTGTCCTTGTGGCACAAACTGGCAAATTTAATTAAGCTGCTGCAGCAACAAGATGCTGACTCAGATATGCCAGCATAGGAATGTCAAGAAATTCTAGCAGTTTAAATTGGCTACATTCAGCAAAGAATGAAATGGTAGCACATCAAGATCATTTCCTTGTGCAGCGCTGTCAAAATCTTCATCAGGGTGCAAACCAAAAGCATCTGACAGGGTTTCTCTATCCACATTTACAGCATTATATTTTATTTCAGTTGATGGTTTGAAGTTTTCCCCCTTCATTTTGTCAACTACCCATTCTCCTCTTTTACTTAAAGTTTCTATGAAAAAATGGCAGAATTTAAAACTTTTAGTTTCTATATTTTAAGCCTATTGGTTTGTAGCATCTTTAAAAGTAGCATTTGGAAATGGTGCTTGTAGTCTCCATCTCAAATCCACTTGTATCATCTGAGTTTGATTTACTTTGCTATATTAAATACATTAAAAGTTTATATTCTTTTTCTATTTAAAGCTATTTTCCCCCTTGTTGGCTTCAAAACTCAGTTGTAAGTATCTGCACACAGAAATTTTAATTTTTTTAAAAAAGGCAATTGTTTAAAATGGCTATTTCTACATGAATAGCTCACAGGACATTTGAATTTTCTTCTTTGTTCTTAGGTGGACTTTCCAAATATCTTATAACAAATATAAATTATTTTTGATGCTTCACAGAAACATAACACAATACTAACCTTTATATTATTCATTTGTAAAAAGGCTATTCAAGTTGTTCTTTCATTTTATAAAGATTTATAGAGTACAGAGAGAAAAAGGAAAAGCTTTTTATCTTGAAATTAACAGTGAAAAGCCTTTTTTGGGGAGGAAGAAGGGTTGAATAAAAACCTCATATTGTTGAAAGCAGCATAATTAAAGGTATCAATATTTTTCCAACATGTGAGAGAACATAAAAATACAAAATTAGGGATAATAAAAATTTTACATTCTTCCTGGTTTTTTTTCATCAAGAAAACAGTTGCAAATTAGTAACAGAGCTTGAAAATCCATTCCTTACTGTAATAATTCTTACTAAAACTTAATATTAGGAAAAAAGACTAGAAACACATAATATCAATGCCTTGTATCTTTATTTTTCTATAGTAAAAGGTAAAATTATACTAATAAATTATTTTGTGCTAGATAGAAATCTAAAAAAAAGAAGCATATTTTTAGTTTCTTTTTTTTCACATTTTTTTTTTTTTAAAGAGATGGGGTCTTGCTACATTGTTTAGGCCGGAGTTCAGTGATTATTCACAGGCACAATCATAACACATTGCAGCCTCAGACTCTTGGACTCAAGTGATCCTCTCACCTCAGCCTCCTGAGGAGCTAGGGCTACAGAAAACAAACATATTCTAAGAAAAAAAGATTCTAGGAGTTAGGCACACCCAACTGCCAGCAAAATGCCCTCCCTCTTATACAAAGCCAGGCTATAACACACACTTGGGATATACTAAGCAGAAGTGGACTTGGAGAAAACCAGTAAAATAATGAAGAAGCAGTGGAAAGGTGAAGAAGATTTATATTAGAAATCTTTAGTCTGAAATGACTAAGGCTGAATTAAGAATTCAGAAATAATGAGATGATTTTTAAAAAAATGATAAGGACATATGTTCTCTAAATCCCAGGATACGAGAATTGGTAACCGTTTTTTGATTCAAATAAATAAAAGTAACTCTTTATTTGATAAGTTTTAAGAAATTAGTTATCTCTAAGACATGGTACAAGTTGAATAATAGAAATAGTTTTTCAAAATATCCATAAATATACAGACATGAGGGAGTCTATTTCCTTACCCTTGTACAGCTGACATTAGCAAACACATTATAATTATGTACCCTGGCAAGAAGAAAGTTGCTCTGAAACTGCCTCTTGAAAACATTTATTTTTGAAATTGTATCTTTAAGAAAACTTCTGCTGGATTTTATGTGAACTTATCTATTCATTTGACAGAATCAAAAAAGCACTTTTTTCTTTAATGTTTTTAATGGCAACCTGGCAATATCTACCAAAATAAACATACACATACCACCCTCCACTTATAGGAATTTATCCTACTTACATAAAGCACATGTAAAAACAGAATGCTCATTGTAACAGTAGAGCAACAGAAACAAGCTAGCACACATCAATTAAAAATTATCTATATCCAACAACAGAATATGACACAGCAATGAAAAAGAATGAGGTCAATCTAGGCCGGGCATGGTGGCTCACGCCTGTAATCCTAGCACTCTGGGAGGCAGAGGCGGGAGGATTGTCTGAGTTCAGGAGTTCAACACCTGCCTGAGCAAGAGCGAGACCCCGTCTCTACTATATATAGAAAGAAATTAGCCAAACAACTAAAAATAGAAAAAATTAGCTGGACACAGTGGTGCGTGCCTGTAGTCCCAGCTATCTGGGAGGCTCAGGCAGGAGGATCGCTTGAGCCCAGGAATTTGAGGTTGCTGTGAGCTAGGCTGACGCCACAGCACTCTAACCCAGGCAAGAGAGTAAGACTCTGTCTCAAAAAGCAAAACAAAACAAAAAAGAATGAGGTCAATCTATACATACTAATGTGTAAAAATCACCAAGGTACGTTGGAAGGGGGGAAAGCATAACGCAGACCACTATATATAGTTTGCATCCATTGTACAAAAAAGGGGGGGTATACTAATATGTGCGTATTACAGTACACATACACCTATTATAGGCTAAGTCAATTCCACAGATGCATCCTCAACCCTCAGAGATTCAGATTCAAAGGGCTGGATTTAGAGTGCAAAATCAGTGTTTTATTTTATTTTGCAACAGGATCTCACTATGTTGTCTATGTTGATCTTTTTTTTTTTTTTTTTTTTTTTTTTTTTTTGAGACAGAGTCCAGCTTTGTTAACCCAGGCTAGAGTAAGTGCCATGGCGTCAGCCTAGCTCACAGCAACCTCAAACTCCTGGGCTCAAGCAATCCTTCTGCCTCAGCCTCCCGAGTAGCTGGGACTACAGGCATGCGCCACCATGCCCGGTTAACTTTTTTTTTTTCCTATATATATTAGTTAGCCAATTAATTTCTTTCTATTTATAGTAGAGACAGGGTCTCACTCTTGCTCAGACTGGTTTTGAACTCCTGACCTCGAGCAATCCACCTGCCTCAGCCTCCCAGAGTGCTAGGATTACAGGCATGAGCCACCATGCCCGGCCCCCATGCTGGTCTTGAAATCCTGGGCTCAAGCAATCCTCCAGTCTCAGCCTCCTATAGCTGGGACTACAGGTACATGCCACTGCACCCATAAAAATCAGTGTTTTTTAAAACCTCTGGGGAGTCTGATGATCAGTCAGTGTGGGAAGCCTGAATATGAAGATAGCAAGAGTCTGAGAAATACTAGAAAATCAAGGAGAAAACTAGGAGAGTGAGGTATCTCCATAGTCAAGAGCTGATTGATGACCATGAGAAGAGCAGTTTTATTAGTGAGGATGGAGGCCAGATTAGAGCGGGATGTTCGGTGAAAAGCAAGTACACTGGGATGTGCAGTGAATGGGATATTTTAAATCCTATCTTTAAAATTCACTCTGCCAATCAGTCTTTTGACTGGGGAGTTTACTCCACTTAAAGTAATTACTAATAGGGAAGGACTTACTATTGCTATTTTGTTAATTGTTTTGTATCTTACAGCTTTTTTGTCCCTCACTTCTTCCCAGCAAGCATATCCAAGTCTTTAAAGACATCTAAGTACAAATGAAAGAAGAGTTAAGGAAGTAACAAGGAGGGAATGTGGAGTCCAGGATAATTTAAAACAGGAAAAACTTTGAGCATATTTAAATACTTATCAAGATGATTGAAAATAGGACAGAACAAAGATACAGAAGAGGGGATAACTGACAGAAAAGATACTGAGAAGGCATGAAAAGATGGAGAGGTATGCTTCCTCCATTGAAAAAAGGGAAAGGATGAAAGTAAATGTTGAGTTTTCCTTGAGGAGGTTCCCTAATTCCTCATTTGGTGTATTTAGACATCTTTCTGGTAAAAATTACTTGGTTTCCAGATTCATCTACAATAGAGTAGAAATAGTCAATTAAAAAGAAAAGAAAAGCTGCTACAGGCAGGTGAGCTGTAAGAAGTGAAAATTGTCACTTGATAGTCATTTTCATATCAGAGAGGAAAAAACCCTTTAGCAGTTTGGCAGAATCTATTAAAATATAAAATGTATATACTGTCTGACCGAAGAGTTTAATTTTTATGAATTATCTTATAGAAATAATTATTTAAAAGTCACCAATATGTTGTTTTTAATTATAAAAAAAGAGGAAAACATTTTGCAACACAGAATAAGCTAAATGAATTAAAATCACATCTATATAATTAATATGCAACCATTAAGATTGAGCTATATATAGGAAAGATATATACAAAATATCACTTTAAATGAGAAAAAAGAAAACTTCAAAATAGTTTCATAGTATTTTATATTATTTTTATATAAAACATATTAAATTATTTTATATATGTGTTTATACATATATATGTTCATGTATAAAGGTCTGAAAAGGGCCAGGCACGGTGGCTCACGCCTGTAATCCTAGCACTCTGGGAGGCCAAGGTGGAAGGATGGCTCAAGGTCAGGAGTTTGAAACCAGCCTGAGCAAGAGCAAGACCCCGTCTCTACTAAAAATAGAAAGAAATTAATTGGCCAACTAAAAATATATAGAAAAAATTAGCTGGGCATGGTGGTGCATGCCTGTTGTCCCAGCTACTTGGGAGGCTGAGGCAGAAAGCCTTGAGATCAAACTCCTTGAGCCCAGGAGTTTGAGGTTGCTGTGAGCTAGGCTGACGCCACGGCACTCTAGCCTGTGCAACAGAGTGAGACTCTGTCTCACAAAAAAAAAAAAAAAGGTCTGAAAAGATAAAAACCAAAGTGTTAAGGGTGGTTTTCTTATTTTCCACATTTCTATAATTTGAATGTTTAATAGTGGAGATACATATAACTTCAACTATCAGAAAACAACAATTATATATGGAATAAATAACCAAATATATAAACATATTACCTGCTAGATAAAACACACAGTTCTTTTAAACTTGGAGCCATGGAATGATCTTTATAATTTTCTCGAGTGAAAAATGTCTTAAGGCCATTTCTGGGGGAAATATCCCTGTGAAACAAAGTAATTTACTTGCATTTGACAATCCAAAATTTCATGCTAGACTAAGAAGCATTATGGTACAATGGAAATTTATAACTACATGCTCTCTATATCCCCTTTCCCAGGCAATCACCTCTTAATATGTTTAACTTCATATATCAGATCTGTGAGCTTAGATGTTTTACTTCTTGGATAACTGTAAGCCCAGGCCCGTTATGAAATTCTCCAGCTCCAACAATCAACCTTGCATTTCCTTTAGTTCCTAATTAAACAAATGTCAGTGAGACTAGAGAGTAAAAGATAGAATAGATTGAAGTACAATCAAGGGTCTGTCAAAGGCAGGGCTCACCTCTGACTCTGAAGCATAACATTAAGATGTTTTGTTGCTGAAAATAAAATGCTTGTCAACTTATTTTGTCAACTTATTTATGTACTAATTAGTGTGCCAGGCCAAAAGGCACTACAAGGCCTAAATATCCTACCTATTTTTGTTAACTTGGCCAATGGGATAAATGGTGCACCTTTGCTAAAACCACCTTGAAAGTGACACATAATTTTTTATAACATCATAATTAATTTAGAGACTATAAAGTTAATGCTTTCCATATAGTAAGCATCCAAAAAATGCTGACTGAATGAAGGTATTAAAAAAATCAAAAACACTGAGAACCATTAATCCAGGGAGGACAAAGTTTAGTAGAATTCTGTGGGCTACAATATTGTGCAAAGGTTCTAAACCACATTTGGTTTCATAATGCCAGTGGCAAATGAGAGCATCTGCACTGCATTTGACCATATACTTTACAGCACTGGCAAGGACCACAATTGTGCATACCTCTTAAAAATCTACAATCGAGCAATCTAATCAAATGGCAACTTCTGGCTGTCCAATTCCCCAAATGGGAAATTCTAGCATATTTGTTCCATACTCATTCCTTACTGTTTTAAAAGGCATTTACCCAAAACAGTATGATTAAGGTATTAATGATAAAAATTAGAATTTATTTACTATCTACCAGTGTAGAGTTTCTTACCTTGTCATGGTGCTGCATCTGTGACATCTCATTAAATTCTAACGTTTCTGCATATCATGTAAAAACAAGGCCAAGGGCCTCAAAGACTGTGAACTCCTTGGGGATGGAGTACTGCTTGCAATAAACAAATACTTATTGAACATATTGATTTAATATTCTTTGATATTGATTTAATATTCAGGTACTATTTTAATAATCTTAATAACCTCTTGTGACTTTTGTATCCTCTTTGGCTGGCTTAGTCAACATGTGTTAAAATGACCTAAAGCAGCACATGTATTCGTTAGATGTCTATAAAACCACTGTATTACTTAACCGGGTTCTCTATTTGCAAAGTTCTCACACACTTCTAAAATACAGTCTATGCATTTATATTATCACTTGATATAGATTCCAATATAACAAAAAGAAGCACATCTATTCTTAAAGAGGGTCTTTTTTATTACCTGTATGGAAATGGGCAAGGTTCTTGGACAAGAAAATTCCATCATCTCTCCTTCACAAGAGACCACCAATAAATATATAATGGACTCACACCTAAAAACAATCTTGAGTGCTGAACTGTTGTCACTTTAGGAGTGGAAGTACAGTCAGCTACTCAGAAATGTTCAGTATGTGAAGATAAGGTAAATTCTGAGACCCTGAATTTACATCTTTTATCTGTTTCCTCCAAATCTCTTGAAGCCAAAAACCCTTTCCTATGCCAACCACCAGCCTCACTTAACTCCTCTTCAGTGGATTACAAAGTGGATACAACTCACCAGTTCAGTCTTGGTTCACTTGTGGCCATCCTGGAGCTCATTTTCCTAGATTTCTGCTTTACTCTAGCTCACAGTTGCTGCTGCCTGGCAGCAAAAGCTCCAATAGAGGCAGGATCCCTCCACAATCTACACCCAACTGAGGAAAAACAAAGGGTCAAGATCAAAAGCAAGTGATTGTCTAGGTCAGGTGCTGTTAACTCAGGTGAGGAAGAATCCCTCCCTAACATCCACCCTCAACTGACTGTGGCACTTAAAAAAGAATACAGCAGACAGATGAATGTTCTCAAGGTTCTCTGTAGTACAGCAACAATGAAAACATAGGATGAGTCCTTCGTTTAATTTAGGCCTGGAATGTCACTCCTGGAACACTCTGAGGAAATAACAGCCCAATGGCGTTTTCATTGCTTATATACTAGAGGAATTTATGGCATGGAGCTTTATGTTTTAACTCAGCTCTCCTCCACTCCCTTACTGCCAAACTAAATCTTGCTTTTGTTTTCCCAATCATACGTTGTATGGGGCAGTTTCAGGCAGGCAATGCATGACAAAAGCTCCCTGTACATTAAGAATCTTAGACCTTTCACAAAGACCTTCACATTTGAGGAGGTCCAGGCAACTTAAGTAACATTTCACAGGATCACTTAGAGACATCATGAGGACTACAAATCTGGCTTGATCTCTCTCCATGTTCAGTGCTTCTCTTGTCACCAAGGCAGACTGATAAAGTGTCATGGGAGAAATAGTAAAATTTAGGGGATCGGTCTCTTGGCACTGGAGGGGCCAGATCCGGCTTCCACTTAATTCACCTCTCACACTCCAACCCAGTGTGGGCCTGGAGAGAGGGAGTCCATGAAGGGAGAAGGAAGGGTTAAGGGAAGGGAGTCGAAAGGAGAAGCGAAACAAAAGTTGCAGGAAAGCAGGTAAAGGGGCGAGCAAAGCCAGGGCAGGAGCCGCATCAGAACCGGGAGCAAAGGGCCCCGGCCCCGCCGAGAGCGCCGCCATGTTCCCTCCCCCCCCAGCACGAGCGCGCCCGCTGGCCGGGGCAGCACCCTCCCTTCCGCATCTCGGCTGCCTGGCAGCCTTTCCGCCCACCTCACGGTCCGCGGCGGCTCTGGCCCCGGCCGCAGACCCCACTCCACACACGCTCCACCCCACTCCTCGCACAGTCGCGCGCGCCCGGGGAAGGCCTTATTTAAAGCACCGGCCCGCGCCGCCCCGGCCCTGCGTGATGACGTCACGAGCGACCCCGTGGGCGGGGCCTGTGTGTATCAAAGGAGCCTACTCCCCTCGGTTCCTTGCCACGCGAATCCTAGCGGTTCTGGCAATGAAGTGTGAGACCGGGTTCGCTGGGAGGAAGTGGCAGCGTGTTATCCTAGAAAGTTCTCAACCTTGGGATGGGGAAGAGGGAGGGGAGTGATAAATTGGAAGGAGGACAAGCGACAAGTACAGTACTGGAAAGACCCAGGCTTGGTTGTGACTTTAGTCAAGTTTCTTAACCCTGACTCCTCGATCTGTAAAGTGGAGACGATATTCTCGCTACTACTTCGTAGAATTTTGGAAAGAATTAAGTGAAACAAGGGGTGGAGTGGTGCTCAGCCCAGTAATTGGCACATAGTAGGGTCTCATCGAGTGCTACTTCACCTCCATTCCGCTCCCTGTCCCATTTTAGCTGTCAGTTTCCACCAGAGGCTACTCTGGTTCTCAAACTGGCTTTTTTCTCATTCGTTGAGGAAAGATTTATTAAGCTCATACTTTGTGCTTGGTGCTGGGTACACATAGGACCAAGACTGAATACTAGTTTTTCTAGAGCATTTGATCTTTAGGAATCTATGTTTACATTAAATAATATAGAAAGTGATAAGCTACATAAGTGAGGTATATAGAAAAGATTGAGCTCAGAGAGGGAGAGAAATTACTAGTGTGAGGGGCAAAAGAGCAGCTTTAAATAGCTAAAGACATTTATTGAGTTCTTATATGTCATTTACCACATTGGGCACTTGCCATGTGGGCTCAGTTGAAGAATTTGGGTATGTGGAATGATGGGAAAGGGAATTCTAGACAGAGACCAGCACAAGTGCCAAAAAAAAAAAAAAAAAAAATTACAATACATTTGAAGATCTCCCCTGGCTTTCTTGAGATTCTAGAATCAGTTAACACTTCATTCTATAAAATAGAATAAGTGTTCCAATGAATCAAACCGGAAGTTGGCTTTATAGACAGAAAAAGGGCTGAAGAAAGCAGAAACACAGAACAAAAAGTACACTGGTCATTTCAAAGTTAGTTTCCTTGTAAAGTGAGGACAGTGAGAGAAAGCAATGGAAAAATAACTGGTTGACGTCAGATTACTTCAGGTTACTTTTTGTTGTAAGAATTAAAACATAGGGGACTTCATTATCATGCTGATCGAAGATGGAAACTGGCCTGTCAGGGAAATTAGGTTGTTACCTTCTTCTCCTGATTTCTCGGGAGGCCAGATAACAATTCATTTTCAGTTTGGTGAGCATGAGTGATCTGGTTTGATTTTCAGTGTGGTCTGTTGGGGCCTAGTGCGGTTTAGTCCAAAACAATGGCCTCCTATAATTATTGTTCAACACAAGGAACTGCATAAACCTATTGCATGAACAAAGTCTAGTTTGTATACTATTAGGAAAGCGTGTATGTTTTAAATTTTAGAATGATTTATGATGTTGTTAGAAATTATGTTAACATAAGAAATATGCTATCCAGACCCACGAGTAGGTTATTTTTCTGGAATGCAAGGTCTCCAAAGGGTAGTAGAGGAAAAAGGATTGGAAAAATCGGTTGGAGCCAGAACACAGAAGACCTTGTGTGCCAGAGAAAAGAAGTTTGACTTTATTATGTAAGAAATGAAATGCTAGGGAACAAACAAAAAAGCGGAGAGATGACACACTTGGAGCTGTCATGTTCACCAAAGTTTATTTTGCAACAAACTGAATGAATTAGAGGGAGGAGGCCAGTTAGGAGACAGTGCTTGTGAATGCTTGAAAACTCAACTGATGCAATGACTGGCGCTGTGTAAGTAGCATTTCTCATAAGGTAAGTGATATCGATGGCTTGTGCTAGGACAAAGGCAGTGTAGAAGTTCATGCCTTGGGTACTGTCTCACAAAGCAGGCAAGTAGAGTTGGGGAGTCCTATCCTAGCTTGCAGCAACTGCTGTAATTGTTTAAGAACTCAAGCTTCTGGGATGTACCAGCTTATATTAGTTAGTATGGTAACATCACCAGACATAACCTGTGTTGAGATTCCAGATCATCGCCAAACGCTATGATCTGCCCTAGTGTATTTGAGTTCCAGTGGTTGCAAGATAGCGCTCAGAATCAGAATTTTCAGAACCAGAAAGCACTTTGGAGATTATCTAGTCCAACCCTCCTGTTTTCCTTATAAGGAAACAGGCCTAGATTGTCAAGTGCCACGTGATCAGTGATAAAACTGATTCTAAATATCAGGTCTCATAACTTCTGCCGATGTGTGCGTCCTCCCCAAAATTCATGTGTTGAAGCCTTAACCTTCAATATGATACTATTTGGACATGGGGCCTTTGAGAAAGAAGTAGGTTTAGATTAAGGCACAACAGTGAGCCCCAGTGATGGAATTAGTGCCCTTATGAGAGGAGAGACCAGAGCTCACTCTCTCCACCAAATGAGGCCACAGCAAGAAGGTGGCCATCTGCAAGGCATAAACAGGGCCTTCATCAGAAACCTTCATCAGGCCGGCTCCTGGGTCTGGATTTCCCAGCCTCCAGAACTTTGCAAAAATAAATCTATGTTGTTTATGCCACCCAGTTTATGGTATTGTTATAGCAGTCTGAGCACACTAATACATATTATAATATATTAAATATATTTATAATTTATTCTTTATGCTCTGCCTTGTAAACCACAAGCAGGTTAATGGGAAAAAGGTGGATATTTTGGATCCTACCAGATATGTACCTTAGGTTTGCGTCTCAGTTTTTCTGCCTATTGGCAGTGTGATCCTAGATATGTTATAGGTCCTCTTCAAGTCTCAGTTTCCTCATCTGGATAATGGATACAGTATTCCATCACTTACAGGATTGTTGTGAGGATTAGAAGTAAAATATAAAAAGTGCATTTCAAAGAGTCAGTGCTCAATATATAGTAGCTATTAGTATATATTTTTTTCTGCAAAAAAAATCAAAGATCAATAAAACACAACATAAGGTGGCATTTTAAGCAGGATTATAATATGAAGAAGAAATGGCATACACATATATAATAGAAGATTCTATGGGAAACAAATGAGGAAGGAGCTCATTCTGATGAAGACAGTTTAGTGGCTACTTCAGAAAAGAAGTTTAATTTATGATGGGTCTTGAAGAATGAATAGGAGTTCAATGGGTAGAGAAGGGGCCGTGGGTTTTACAGTGTGAAAAAACAGAAGTATGAAACAGTTCTACATGTTCTGGGGAAGAAGAAAAGCCATTACATTGCTCTGTGGGGAAATAAAGGCCATTAGACTGGAAAGGTGGAGGGAACTAGAGATTTTGGACTTTATTTTCTGGGTTATGGGGAATCACTGTGTGTGTGTGTGTGTGTGTGTGTGACACAGCTTTACTGAGTTATAATCTACATGCCATAAAATCCATCCATTTTATTTGTACTGTTAAGTGATTTTTAGTATATGTATGGTGTTTTCCATCCATTAACACTAAAAAGTTTTATAACATTTCCATTACCCTAAAAATTCCTTTGTGCCCATTTGCAGTCAAGCTCTCTTTCCACACCCAGCCCCAGGTAACCACTAATCTATTTTTTGTCTCTCTATATTTGCCCTTTCTGGACATTTCATATAAATGAAATTGTAAAATAGGTTCTCTTTTTTCTTAGCATGGTGTTTTTAGGATCATCCATGCTGTGTGTGTTAGTATATATTCCTTTTTTGTTGCTGAATAGTAACTCATTTATGGATATACCTCCATTTAAATGGTTTCCACTTTGGGGCTATTACAAATAACACTGCTATGAAGATTTGTGTACAAGTGTTTGTGTGAACTTTGTGTTTTTATTTCTCTTGAGTAGATATGTAAGAAGTGGAGTTGCTGGGTTGTATGGTATATTTATATTTACTTTTTTAAGAAACTGCCCAATTATTTTGCAAAGTGATTATACCATTTTATTCTGTGGTTTTTAAGCAGAAGAAAGATTTGGTTTTCCATTTCTGCTAAACTGAGGAGCAAACAAACCCAGAAACTGAATGAGGAGTCAATTTAATTTTGAAAGAGTTTATAACAGTATGTACTTGTTTGAGTTTACAAAATGTTACATTGGACCAAAATTTCAAAAAGAAATCTTACAACTGCAAGGCTAAGTGAAGTTATCTACTTGTTACTAGATATGTATTACTTCTTGTGGACCAAATCAAGACAGAAAAATGTGCAAGATTATCTTTTTATTATTATTTTTTTATCCATGCTAAGTCATTTTCCTACCCTTCGGCAAATGAGCTTCCTTTGCTTGATTTGGGGTGAACTTGGCCTTGGAGAGTATATAGCTTGGTAACTACTTCATTCAGGGAATTGCTTCATGAATTTACAATCATCTGTAAGGTACTTTCAAACTGGGAATCCAGAAATAGCCCTCTAGCAAAGAGGTTTCAATCTAGTAATTGATGCAGATATTTTGGGGGAAAATACTGTCGCTAGTAGTAGTTTGTTCAAATCAGGCTTTTTAGCAATAAATGGTATTTCCAGTGGGAAGGGAATCATCATTTATCCTGAAAATCAGTAAAACACTCCAGCCCAGGATATGCCGTGTTAGAACAGAATGGCTACAGTGTTCAAATTTTTCTACTTATAAGATAGTATTTTCTAAAATATATTTTGTTATGTTCTATATTACATGGTCTCTGGGCTGAAAAAAAGACACAGAAGTAACTGTTCATCTGAATGCTGGTCTTTTATAGGCAGTGCATAAGTACCCATAGACAGAGGTTGATGGTAGAGATAATTCCAAGTAGAATAATTTAAAAATTATATTGTCTCTGAACCTTTTTGACATCAGGGACTGGTTTCATGGAAGACAAGAGTGTCTGCAAATACACATGCACCTTAGCTCCAATGCCCACCACACCCCTGCTGGTCACTTCCTACTGTGCAGACAGTTCCTAACAGGCTACAGACTGATACCAGTACACCACCCCGGGGACTGAGGACCACAGCTTTAGAATACAGCATGAATTTCATTAGGAGGGTAGAGAAAGAATGGTAGAAGGGGTGCGTCTGGGGCCTGTTAAGTGGTCATTGTTATAATTAATGTTGGATGAGGCTAATATTGAAATTAATCTTTGTTCTCTAAGCCTGAGGTCCCCAACCTCTGGGTGAAGGACTGGTACTGGTCTGTGGCCTGTTAGGTACTGGGAGCAGAGCAGCCAGCCTCCACCCCACCCCTACGCCAGTCCCTGGAAAATTGTCTTCCATGAAACCAGTCCCTGGTGCCAAAATGGTTGGGGACTGCTGCCTAAGCAATGAACAATTGATAGATGAAGCAGCTCCTCCCCCACAAAAGAGAAATCATTTTGGAATTGAAAACATTGTTTGAAAGGTCAATCAAATAGATAAACAACAAATGGATTACTGAGAAATGACCATATTTTACTGGAGTCAATGTTTCCCCTCCGAAGAAGGAATAAATCCAGAATTAAATTAAATGCCGAAAGGCTGGTTTCTTTCTTTCCAACATCAGAGATAAATGACATTAGAACAAAACAGGATTTTTCTTCAGGTCACAACTGGTGGTACTTTGAAAGGATAGAGTTCCTGTTAGTCTCCTAGCAGGAGGCTTCTGCCGTCATTGGGGGTCTAGGCTTGCCTTAAAAGCTATGGTGGGCCAGGCATGGTGGCTCACAACTGTAATCCTAGCACTCTGGGAGGGTGAGGTGGGAAGATCGCTTGAGGACAAGAGTTCAGAGACCAGCCTGAGCAAAGGTGAATCTCCATCTCTACAAAAAATAGAAAAATTAGCCGGGCATGGTGGCACGTGCCTGTAGTCCCAGCTACTCAGGAGGCCGAGGCAGCTTGAGCCCAGGAGTTTGAGGTTGCAGTGAGCTATGATGACCTCTCTGCACTCTAGCCTGGGAGACAGAGCCAGACTCTGTCTTGAAAAAAAAAGTTGTGATCGGGGTGGGAGTGAGGAAGAGTAGCAGTGCAGGATCCATCAGTGTGATTCTTTTGGGATCCAGGAGGGTTCTCTTGACAAAAATTCCCTCCTCACTCCAAGGATTTTGAAATCCCTTAAAGCATGTGAACATCTTTTTTCTTCCTATCTCTGGTGACTTGTATGACATTAATAACTGGCTTTGAACACCACTGGGCCCCATCTTCAGTTTCTTGTTCAAAAAGGGATACCAGGGTGCTGAGCTGCGTCTCAGCACAGCAGCTGTTAGCCTTCCTAGCACCATGAGCATGGCTCGGTGTTTTCACAGACCTGGTAGGAGAAGCCAAGGCCCCTGTACCCTTCCATTTGATCCAAATGCACATTGGACATGGAAGTCTACTTTTCGGGGATTAGACTGCTTGAACTTGCCTCATGAAAAAGTTCAGTAGCGACAATAGCAACTAAGACATTCCTGAGGACAGGTCTTAACGACTAGTCTGTGATGCTTACTTTTGCTTTCTTTCCCAGAGTTTATTAATAATGTGGCATTTGCTCTCCTTTCTGATTTTCCTGGGAGACCATCATAAACAGAATTCTAAGAAGACTCTCTTAAACTCCCATATAAGTTTCCTTCTTGAAACCAAGCAAGCTGATCCAAGATAGAGAGGTGAGTATAAATCATCATTTTTAGCAAAAGGGGCTGAGGCATGGGTTTGAGCAAAGGCCTAGAGGTGACAGATTTCATTTTTTTGAACTCCATTATTTTCATTAACTCTCAATTTCCTTAGAAAGGGGTGAATATTTATATTTATGTAGAACTTAATGGTCTAAAAGATTCCACATGCATAATCTCATTCTTCATCTTTTCTGAGGTGGCTGAAAATAAAAGCAGTGTTAGAGACTGTTTGCTACATGCAGCAACTTCGGGGATCAATTCAAATATATATTGAATGCCTACAGAGCGTGAGGAATGCTTAGGCACTCTAGCATGTGTATGGAGGCAAATGCCAGCTCAGTTGACTTTCCTCTGACTTCTGAATATTTTATAATTTGAATGTCCTGGAGGTTACTTTAAAAGTAATTTACAAGTTTTTGCATATTAAAACAGTGTGATACTTGCCTAATGTTAAATTTATGGTTCTCCCCTAAGTAATCTACTCAAAAGAAGCGGGTGGGGCAATGACAGTGTAGGTAAGTGAGAATTTTTAAGTCTTTGGCATCATTTCTACAATTCCATTTTAATGATTTCTGAAGCACAGATGACAAAGTAGGGTGTGCATTCAGGATTTCTCTCCTTCTACACTCAGGGAAGATATCACTAATTAGCCAGGGCATCCTTCTCCTTTGAGACAGGAAGCAGCCTCAATCCTGCACTCCCAACAGCATCTACCAATCAATGGGTGCTATCTCACAAGTTAATACTTCTTTCTTTGCCATCTCTGATCAAAAGAGTAGCTTACTCCTTGCAGACATTTTTTTCCCTGCAAAATGGAAGTGAATGATTTTTTTTTAAGTACTATACTATAGACCAGTGCTTCTCAAATTTTAATATGCATATCTATCACCTGGAATCTTATAAAAATGCAGATTCTGATTTAGCAAGTCTGGGGTGGTGCTTGGGATTCTGGATTTCTAACAAGGTCACAGGTGATGCCAATGCTACTGGTCTGTGGACCACACTTGGACTCTTTGACTACCAGGGTTTTACTAACAGGAGTCCTCAAACTACAGCCTGTGGGCCACATGCGGGTGTTTTTGACTATTTGTTTTTTTACTTCAAAATAAGATATGTGAGTGTGCACAGGAATTTGTTCATAGTTTTTTTTTTTTTAAACTATAGTTCGGCCCTCCAATGGTCTGAGGGACAGTGAACTGGCCCCCTGTTTAAAAAGTTTGAGGATCCCTGTCTAGACCCTTTACTAGAAACAAGATGTAAGCTAGAAAACTGTGTACAATGCAGCTCAATAACAAAAAAAAAGAAAAGAAAAACAAGGCAAGTGTTCCATTAGAAGCTGAAGTTTTATTATAGGATAACAGTACATAAAGCACATCTAAAATTGATGTGTTCAATGCACTTTTAATAAAGGTAATGTAATATTAAAGGTACAGTTTCTAAGTACAATATAACAACATTCATATTAGAATGAAAATCGCAGTATTTAAAAGACAACATTAAATCTCTCTTTTTTTACAGCTTGTATTTACAAAATGAATCAAAATATTTTTTTTTTAATTCAGGACTCAATAAAATAAACAGCTGGAAATAAGCAGACTACTGTAAGAGTGAATTGAAAAGAAAACCCAATGTAAGTGAAAAGTTGGATGATCCTCTAATAAAGATCATTAGCAAAGTTTTAGTTGAATACTATTTTTAGGGTTCCCATAAATGGCTTGCATTTTTAGTGTGGCAGAAAAGGAGTTTTTTACATACTGTACACAAAACAGACAGCATATATTTATAGGTACAGTATTACTGTTTCCAAACTTGCATGTATATTTACAGAAGGCTGAGTTTGTTACTCACAGAGGTTTGTGAAATTTGTGTGCTTAATCCTTGAGACCTACACACAATTAGAATCAGCATTTCATGTGGTCTTTTAAAATGTGGCTTTAATACTTGGTTGTAGAAGAAAATGTTAACCATAAGGCTTGGCCTATTTTATAAATTTACCAAAACAACTCAGGAAAAAATTTTAATTGGGGCACACTTGTTATCCTTTTACAATTATCAAATGCTGACATGTGCTGGCCATTGTGCAGACGCAAAGAGATACATACAATCTCTACCCTCAGGAAGCTTAGGATGCTAAATGGTGCTTTAAAAAAAAAAGGTTTCAATCTCTTTCTAAGCAAGGCAGTTAAGGAATGACGTGATTTGTATTAAAAGAGATTTCTCCCTAAACTGTAGCCAATCCATTTTAAAAGGTTAACTATTAGCATTAGCGCTCATTAACCACACAATTGCATTTATAATCAAGGTAACAGCAACTCTTCCATAAAAATGGAAAATGTCTAGAATTGTGGGTAAATATGCAGTGCATGGAAGCCAATAATCATGGCTTGAGAATTTATCACCTTCAATTACAAAAAGTGCAGTAAACAGAAACATTTGCTCTATATTTATAAATTGCTCAAAAATCTTTGCTAAAGATCTTACAAATTCAGTAATATTACAGAACAATTCTAATCAATATTTAATAAGGTTAACTACATCCTTAGTTAGATATTTGATATACTTTGATTTTTAACAAAGCCAATAGATATTGGGAGACTGGGTGAAAGGGTTTAATTAAAGTTCATTACTAAATGACTTTTAAAACAAAGGTCCTGCACTCAGTTCATGGAACTGGTTAAGGTCATATTTAAATCAGAACATCCCTTGTCAAATTTGCTTTATGGCCCATGTTCCACCAGTGATGTCTCCATACTTCTCATGACTCAGGTAGGAGGGGAAAGGTTTATTCTGCCATCAAGCCACCAAGGATGTTTTATATAAATGCCTACTGTCTATAATAGGAGCTAAGTATACAACTCTGTCAGGTACCAATAATATAATTCCTTAATGAGAAAAAAAATGTATTACTCCATTAAATGAGAATGTTTCTTTAGGATCTTGAAGGCCTGGCAAATTATTTTTCAGCTCAGGAGATAAGGTGTAAAGCCAAGTAGCAAACATAAAGTAAATGCTAATAAGTTTTCATATAACCATATTTATAAACAAATTCACCCTATAGATGTCAAATATCCATACTAAGGAAGTAATTTTATCCTAATTAAATACACTCTAGAATAATTTATATAATGATATTATGTATTTAAAGAGAAAAGCACGTCCCAAATCCAGCACTCTGATACAGCTGCCAGTTGGGCATAGGTAGATATATATATATATGTATATATATACAAATATATAGTTATACTCAGTGAAATTAACAAGACCCAAAGGTGGTATTGTCTAGGAATAAAAGGGATATTTTTTTTGTTCACAAAAGTAACTTATCTAGCACCACACATCAGAAAAACACAAAAATAGCACACTCTAGTTCTAAACAGCTATGTCTAAAATAGATTATATAGTAAAACCGGTATTATACAGCATATTGTGGATTTGATAAACAGATAAATATTTGCACTGAGTAGGCTGTTTATAATATAACATTTTCTTATCTATACAGAATGAAAGCCAAAAAGTTAACTGTATAGAGATGTGCAGAACAACATTAAATATTATGACTCAAAAGCAGGGACGAAGGTAAATTTGAAAGAAGAGTAAGAGAGAAAATGTTTACAGGCCATTACAAGTTCTTAAGTTAATAGTAAATAAGGAATCAATTGCTCAAGTTGAAGAAAGCAGTAAACAAGAGATTGCATTTACATGCAGATGTCTAAAATTTGTATTTTTTTAAGTCTATGCACAAAAGTCATTTGTTTTATTGCTTGACATTCAGTTATGGCTAGATTATTTAACCTATTTTTTTTTTTTTTTTAGTACTTTGGAAACAAGAATATTGTTAAAGGTGCCATAAAAATGGACAACATTGAAAACGGTTTGCAAATAAACCACCTAACACTGCAGTTCTTTATACATATTAAAAGCCTTGTCTGGGGTTTGTCATATGTTAAATATATTTAAACTGGGAAAATATGTTGTAGCTTGAAGCCTCCCATTGGCCCAAACATCCAATACAAAAACACATCTCCACAAAAGGAGCAGGCAGACAATACAGGTACATTTAAAGAAGCAGCCAGCTAATGTCCTAATGTTTAAAAATTTACCACTGTTTAAATATGAGATTTCAAACTGTTGTGGATAAGAAGAGAATTTTTGATTCAGGAAGATGCATACAGTACATATGGATTTTTTTTTTTTGTGAAATTGTATTCACACTATATTGCTCAAGAATTATCTGCATTTACATATGCAATCTTTTCAATGATAATCAAGTTCCTAGAAATAGTATCCACATTAAAATAATAATGGTGAGAAAGGAACCACACATGAACACTGGAGAGAATTTAGTTGTTCTGAGAGAACAACAGAATGGCATGTGCAGCATGTCAAAGCCAACAGCAAGCTGTCTTTCATTATTCTCAGAAGGAAAAAAGAAAAGTGTGATAACCACTAATGTGGCAAAGTACGCTAAATGTAAACAGCAAACAGGAATTCTCTAGGTAACTAACATACTCGTATTCACTTTCTCAACACAAGGCTCCATGTTTTATGTTGCATCACTGAAAAAAGGTTGTTTCTATTTGGATTGAATATTCTGTCATTCATTTGTAAACAAATGACTGAATGTATTTATTGCTCTAAGTTCTGAGGGTTTGGTTGAACATGGAGATCCCCCCATCTATGATGGCTCCTTGGTATGATTATTTTAAAAATGATTCTGAGAGCCTGACAAAACTGATCTCATTTATGCAAACACATAAGCAAACAGACCCAGAAGTAAAACCAACTGTGCTATGGAGACATTGCTAGACAGCCTTCCCTTCTCTTAAAACTAAACAGCAGTAAGCAGTTCTCTGTAATCAAATCTGGTAGAACGTTTTTTATAAGACTAGGGTTTAGGGACAGAATGAAGACCTGTATCACAGACTATTAGCAAGAGATCAAGATTTGCTGTTGCAATTGCATTTCTGGGTACATAATTTGATCCATGGTATAAAGTTGTGTTCATGGGGTTAACTTTATCAGTAAGAAGTGGCAATCACATGTCATAATATGTAAAAATGTCAATAACCTGTGTCAATGAGAAAGAGAGAGAGTGTGTGTGTGTGTGTGTGAGAGAGAGAGAGAGAGAGAGAGAGAGAGAGAGAGAGAGAGAGAGAGAGAGAGAGGGAGATTCTGCCATTTTCCATATTTTTTATTATCAAAAACAACATGGTAAAGGCATCTTTTGCATCTGGCAGACATGGGAAGTTTTCCCAAATTATGGTCCTCTATCATAGTAAGAAAACAAGTAAATCTTCTTCTGAATGTGTATTCCAGGGGGGGAAGAATCAGAGCTAACAATTACACTGAGCTTTTCTGACTTTATGGAAAATAATATGTGGAAATGTGGGAACAGAATTGTATTTCAAAAATATAACATGTAACCATAAAAACGGGCTCAAGTTGCTGTCATATAGGCAGGTTTCATTTTGTCTTTAAACATTAGCTCTTTATCAGGTATAAATTTATACCTGTACTACAGGTATAAATTACAGGTATAAATTTACAGCTGTAATTTATCAGGTATAAATTACAAATGTAGAAGTAAGAATTGTTTTGTGTAAAGGAATTTTTGGTTTGTGTCTAGAGGAGAACACATGGAAATAATAGTTAACAGCTGGCATTTTAAAAACATGTTTCATCTTTTACCTGTCTCACTATACTGATAGGCAGGTCTCTTCTCTCATCATTTGTTTTTATATTTTTTATCCATAATATGTAGAATTTGGAATAGTTTTTTAACATATAATGCTATATATATTTATCATGAAAATTTTAATTATTATAGACATAGTAAATGGAGCATGCGAGGACTGCACTTTGAATGATACTCTTTGTTTGTACACTACCTATTAGTTTATCTTTTGAACACACTGGCATAACTTTGCTTTGGAAGTTATTCAATGCTTTTAAGCACACAAAAATGAAGAGTACACACGCTGTGACCTCAACAAAATGAGACGATAGTGAAGAGTTTACACGCACACAGTTCTATACAGTTCGCTTGTGCCTTGGAGGGATAGTATTATTATCATTATTATTAATAATAAAAAACACAATTTGTCCCAGTAGTACTGGCCACCCTGTTTTAAGAGTTTTAGAAGATCCCTGAGCACATTGTTTCTGACTCTTAACCCCAACTCCAAAATGATAGGGCTTCTATTGTTGATAATCAAGATGGATTGTCATTCACAGTAAGTCAATCATAAGGTGCTTATTTATTTACCCTTTTTTTTTTCACCAATCAGCACAAAGAACTGTCAGAAAATAACCTTTTTATTATTATCTTAAAATAATAGCACTGGAAGGACACATGATTTAAACAATCAATGTTTGAAACAGTGGCTTTAGGATTATTATCTGGCTGCCCCTCAACAATTACAAGTGATTCGATCGACATTCCTTAGCCAAAAACAAAAGGCAAAACAGAAACGAAAACAAAAACAAAAAACCCAAAAAACTGTACAAATATGTATTTTTCCCTGAGGGATCAAGGTACACCTGCAAGTGCTCTATGTACATATTGCACTAGAGAGGAATGAGGAACATGTGCAAAAAAGCAACAATGAGAGAAGCTTACACACTACTTAAACCTTTTCATTAAAGATTCTACTAGGTTGTTTTGCATTTTGGAATGTCGGAACACAACAGCTAGCTATTCCTTAGTCTAAAACTAAAAACACGCATTTCTACTATGGCACATTCAATGAAATAAAAAGTTTTCCAAAGACAGATAGACAAATTCCATCAATAAAATAATACAAAGTTTGTTTGTTTGTATTTTTTTTTTTAGAAAATTACATTACTTTCTTTCTTTGTTTCACATTACAAAATCTTTTTTTTTTCTTTACACAAATCACATTTTATTGCAGGAATATTTCAAGTGCCATCAAATATTTATAGAAGGGTTAAAAAAATAGAAGTCTCTCTAAAGTGGTCCAGACAAGGCTTTGTATAGAATAAATCTTTTTTTTTTTCCATCTTCTAGTTTTGATTTAAGTATTTTGAATACATTTTCTTTTCCATTGACACTTAGTAGCCTAGAAGCGGTCCGACACACACATCATACACCTCATACACCTCATACACACACGGACACACACATACACACGCTCCTTCTTCACCTCTCAGCCCACCTCCATACGCTCACAAATATCTGGGTATCCACACTATAAAGAACAACCAAACTTAGAAGCAGTGTCTTAAGTCATATTTTTCTTAAGTTATAAAGGGTGAATTAGGATGCTGAAGACTTTAAAAAAATCCATAGTTTTAACACAAATTAAGATGCTGAACACTTAAAAAAAATCCATAGTTTTATAACACTATTTGCAAACTGCCCCAAAAGCACTTTCATCTGCACTTTTGTTTGCATTGTGACCAAGGCCAGTTTTTTCACAATATAATGCAACCATCTGAACACCATTGTTACAGAAGGTTTTCAGGCTTTGTACAAAAGCCTTATTTACCTTATGGAAAAAAAAAAATTGTATGAGGGCATTATAGCAGCCGGGTTGACAATGGTGTAGTTCCAATCTTTAAAAGATGATTGGACATTTAAGTTTAGGAAATTTTAATTATAAGAACTATTAAGAATAGTTGTTCTGATATCACCAAATATTTTGTGTCATCATACAGGTGTTTTTATAATAAAGGAAGAAAATAAAAAGGCAAAAGTTTTTCACATCCCTTTCTGGACTCCATGTTTTTTCAACTGAATTTATTGTTTAACCTCAGATCCCAACTTAGATCCAAATAGTCAGTTGTTCCCTCATTTCACTGAGCATGTCTTTGTCTCTACTTTCTCTTCCTACACTGTCGATGGACTTTGCTCTTAAAGCCCACCTCTGCTTTTCTTTCAGAAACACCTGGAACCAGCATGATGTTACTCTAACTTGGTTTACCATAAAAGCAATGTCACCATGGCATGACTATTACTCATGTTTTTTTTTTTTGCATTAGGTACAAGCAAAATCCTTTCTGGGAAAAGGAATTTCTTTTAAGTTCAACATTATGTTCTCTCTCACCCTTAGAGAAGTTCAATTAGCTCTTAATTATTTCACAAATGGACACTGGAATTAGGTTTAGTTGCTCTTTAATGCGCTAGCACCTGAGGCTGGTCATATTCAGAAAGCTTTGGTTAAAAAGAAGTTAATATACTTGGATAAAACCATCCCCAAATTTAGTGAATCTAAACGACAAAACAAAACAAAGAAACCCCAAAAAACAACACCACACCATTTTCCCCTAAAGGAGAAACAAAAGAAAAAAAAATGGACAAATAAATAACTGAACTAAGCTTGGTACTCTTTTCAGAGTATAAATACTATTGATCTTTAAAGGAACTATGCTTACTTAAGTTAAAATTTTGATTTAACCCTTCTTGACCAAATATAAATACTATATGCTGACAGTTAGCCTCTCTATATAAACACTTACATAAAATTGTATTTGCCTGTAAGAAATTTAAAGGAATATTCCTTTTGTCTTCCCTTACTATATTTCTGAAAAAAAAATTTTTTTTGGATGTTATTTAGGCTTCATACACATGTCCGTGTGAATAATTCCTTCTCCTTTTCCACCACCGTCCCTCAGGAAACAAGTCAGAAAGTCAGTGGAGTTAAAAACAGAGTGAAATGCTCTGAGAAGCCCATGCTGTTCGCCCAGCAGGACATCAGGAGCTGAAATTCCTGCGGAAGATTCTGCAGGGACCCTGGTGGAGGAGACTCTCTGATGTGAAGGGCTGCTTGGAAACTCCCACTTTACACCCATGGAAGATGTTCCCTTCTTCCGTACAAACATGGTCTTTGACGTCAGACCAGTAGTTTGGATCCCACCCCTAGTGCGACTAAAGAAATCATCTTCTAAATGCCTACATTCCTAAAAGGTCACTTGTTTTTAAAATATGCACATTTGTATACCAGACTGTTCCTTTCCCCTCCCCTTACTGGGGATTATTTTTTAAAAAAATAACAACATGAAATTAAATAAAAACACACTCAATATTCCTCACCTGAACACAAAAGCCAAATAATCTTCTAAATATTTAATAAAATAAATTACAGTCCACAGTTTTCTAGTGAAGATAAATACAAGAGTAAATGTTTGCAGCTAGCATCAATTTTACTTTAAAGGCTTAAAGTATTTAATATTTAAATAAGAGAAACTGGTTCAACAATGTATGCCTCCCTCACCTTCCTATCCATTGTCTATCAAACATAGAGGGCAATATTCTAGAATTATAACATCTATAGACAATGAATCTAGAATTGGTTCATTCTGAGATAAACTTTTAGGGTTCCTAGATTATACCAAGAACATAAACACTCACAAAGTAAATGCTTAATGTCCTCATATGGAGAGTGTGTGTTTGCTTCAGATATAATCTTTGGGTCCTTCTTATAATAAAAGCTAGATTCCAATATATATTCTGGTTACAGATTTGTTCTCAAAGCATAAAAATTCCAAGTTGAGACTGAGTCCATAGAACTACTGAATTGTGTAAAACGAGCCTCCCCTTCCCACCTCCATGAAGTGCCATTTTAAAAAGCTTCTTTTTTTTTTTTTTTAATGTGCATGATGGTATAAGACCACAGCACCAATCAATCATTCAACTTTGTATGAAGCGTAAACACATCTACCCTTAAACCTGCCAAAAAAGCAAAGTATAATTTAGGGAGAGTTCCGTTTCTAATTCCAAGTTCACGTGTAAAAAACAAAAACCCAACATGGTGATTTCTAGATATGACCAGCCAGTCTTTTAAAAGTAATTTTTGTAAACAGCAGCATAAATACCTCCCACGTACCTTCCAAGCCTTCTCAGTTAAACTTGTGTTTCTGGTGCACATGCGACACGACAGTGAACACGCTAGCATTTAATTTAAAGAAAAAGGTGCAAAATGAAAGTGCCTTATCAATTCAACAGGAAAAGCTACACCAGTAACTACATTTTATATTAATTAAAACAATATATAAACAATATCTCTTTTAGCTATATATAGTCTTCATGCCCATTTACCCTGTAATATATTATAATGCTATTGTTGCTACTGCTATGGACCCTTTTCATGCCATCCTGCTGAACTGGCAATAATCGGTGAAAAAAATAAAAACTTCCTTCATGAAACAAAGAGCAAGTTGTGCAAAGTAATGCCGCCACCTCCGCTATGCACACCAGTCACCGATTATTGCTGGACTCTCTGTTGTTACTGACAGATTGGTGACTCTGGAGAAAGTCTGTGGGCAGTGAACTACAAGAAAAGGAAATCCTCTGACTTTAGTACCCTCCTTCTGCTGTAAACAGAGGTCAAAAGATGGAGAAGTTGAGACAGAAAAAGGGTCCATATCTGTAGGCATAATGGAAATCATATGCATGAGAAAAACAAGTTCAACTTTTATTTGTTTTCATTGTTTCCCCTCCTTTGCCTGACCCCGATCACCAAAAGATGTGCAGTGTGTGACGCTCCAGGTCTGTGCAGGGCCATATAAAGTGTCTCGGTTAATTTTTGTTTTGTTGTTTTGTTTTTCACGTTTGTACTTCAGACATTCTAGAAGTGCTTATTTTGATACATTTACCCATCAATTTGCATTGCTGGCTCAAATTCTGAAGTGAACAGCTCCTTGTATAATGGAGGAAAATGAAGTCGCACAATGTCTGGATATATTGCTTTAAATGCCATTAGCTTTTCTGTATGTCGTCCACATAAGGCTCTTAATGTAGAGACCTTGCATATTAACTGTAAGTGGAAGAAAGGACATGTCGTCAGGAGAGAACAGGCACGAGAATCAAAGATCAGGGAATCGGGATGGTCTTCACAGCACCGTTTATGACTGCGAAACACACTTGAAGCAACATAAGCATCCAATTAATAGCGGATTGGCTGAGAGTAAAAGATGACACAGTCATAGCCTAGAATGCCAGGTACACGTTAAATATGATTTTGAAGATGAACAATTTAGTAACTTAAAAATGTGTTCATAAGCAAAAGTTGGCACAGCTCGTCAGTGACAGAGACGGGACGAGAACCTAAGGCTCTGGATTCCTCCTCCTATTTCAAGATGCTTTCTGCTCTATGGCCTGGAACCCTGGCCTCTGCCACTGTCTGGTAATGGAGAAGTAGGCGAGGGGGCAGTCGTGGAGAGTGAGGGCCTTGCAACTGCATAGAACACATTTTCTGCAGAATAGCACTAGTCAACTCCAATGCAACAAGTTTCTTCTTGATAAAGAGTTTTCCCTGCAACGAAGCGGTTCTGGGTCTGAGAGTCAGAGGTCTGAATGGAAGAAGACCCAGCATTGACCATTTACCTGCTGCGAGTAATAATACGATTTGCAAACATGCTTTTAGACTCTAATGCACTATACAAAGGCAAAATGCTTATTATTTCAACCTAGAATAATCCTCTCTAGGAAACCTTTTCACCAGATCTTGTCCACCTGTTAGGCGCTCTCTATGATAAAAGAACCTAACGCCACCCTTGCGTTTGGGCAAGAAGAGGGAGAAGAGAGTGAAGCTCCTGAAGGTTCTTCCCCCTTCCATTTCCAAGTCCTGCCCCATTTGCTCATTTAACAGGTGCAAAATAAAAAATAAAACAGCAATTAACCTCCAACTTTCACTTTCTAATCTAACATAGTTATAAGGAGAAAAAAAAAACAACCCCAAACAAACAGGAAAATAAAACCAAAACTTCTCCAATCATCTCACACAATAAAACACATATAAAATAATTTAGGGCTGGTTTTTCTCAGACCAAATGCAAACTACCAGCGCTGGCACTGGTGGACACTAACATTTTAAATTGATATCCTAATCATATCATTATTGTGAAAGATAATTAGCAAAAATGAATCCTTGTTCCTTGAACATACGGTATTAATGGGAGATAGCTGAAGAAAATACAAAAGTCATTTACTTTTGATTACTAATGATTAATGGAAATAGAACTATTATTAGACTCTATGGCTATCCTGGTTAACTCTTTTAGTCCTTTATGATCTCTTTCTTCTACCTTCAAAGCTTCTCTTTCCTATTTATATCAATGCAGAACATTAACTGTGCTTTATGCTCAACTTTGATGGAACAGGAGGAGGATTTCCAGAATGCATTAATGCTTAAAAAACTATTTTTCCCTACAGAGTGCAGGACACTTTTTGATCAGTGATAATAAATAGAATTTAACCTGAATAGTGAATTATGGCCCAAAAGAATTTTTTGAAATGGAGATTTCTTTCTTTTTGGGTGTCCATTGCTTACTGATACTTTGGGACTTGGTCATATGACTTACAAGGGCAGCTGGCAGCATGGTCTACACCAAGGGAAATTTCAGACCATGCCAACCGGAAGCCTTTGGCTCTCACCTTTGTTAGTATTCCATCTTCTCGGTGATTCTTCTGTAGGACGTGTTGAAGAGCTAGCTGAATTTTCTGTTGCAGTTTTTCAATTTTTACCTTTTCCTGCAGCCATGAGCGATCTATACATGAAAAATTATATTTCTTAGTATTCCTCCCACGTGGTGTCAGAACACCCCATTCCTCCCAACCTTGGGTACAGATTAGCATACCGCAATGCATATTTAGAGATTCATAGGCCAGTTTCACTCCTCTTTCAAAGTTTGCCTTTAAGGGAGTGGAAAAGTGATCTATAGCAGTTATGAAACAGGGTGTTAAACCTTTCCACTTTTACTGATAATTAAAGGAAGAGAAGCACCTCCCCTTCCAAAGAATACCAATTAAGTATAAGGCCATACTTATAGGAGTTCAAATAAAGCCACCATGGCCCCCAAGCCTTTCTAGTAATTATACTTCTGAATGAAATACTCATTATCAATCCTGCTAGCCTTTTTGGAAAATATGAAGATTGCCTTATAATCCAAGGCAACTAAAATAGTCAATAGAATTTTAAATGACCTAAAGGTTTTTAATTTAGGATAAAGTCTTGATGTGTAGGGATTCCCAATAGAAGACAGTAACCTTGCAAAAGTGATTATCCCCAAGAGGCAGTACCGGTTGAAAATACAGATTAAATCCAGATAAACTAGAGGATGACATCCAAAGGGATTTTAATAAAGAGTAGTATGTCTTAAAAACCATATTATCTTGGAGACTGGTGTTAAGAAGGGTAACTCTATTCTACCATGGCATTTCTCTTGTTAGCAGGAGTTAATTCTGGACTGGGCTTTATTCAGTTCTCATTTTTTAATTTTACCTGAAAGGCATGAGATCTTTTTAAAAGAATATGTGTTCAGGAGCTAGAGGAGAGGGTGCTATCTGGAAAACTTAAAGTTAGATTTAATAAGGTAGCAACCTCTCTTGGTAGCTCCCAAATATTTTATACCCATTAAAAGTTATGCACCTTGTACAAATTCTTTATCTTGGATAATTTTTAAACTATTTATTTGATTAGCTTACCTGCTGACATCAGTACAAATGCAGAAAATAATGCAATTTCATCTTCAGTCAGGTGCATAGAACATAAACTCTTTCCAAATTCAAACACAAAGCTAATAAAGTCTTCACAACCTGCCAAAATTAAAATAAAGACAGTTTAGGATTTGGTTATTATCTTAGGAGAAAACTATGGGAGAAGGTAAAAGATCTAGTGGCTGTAGATCCAGAGGGAAAAGTAATAACATTTCCATAGTTTGATAGTTTGAAATCTTGAAAGAAAAATCTGTTTAGCTACCACCATCACCACCACCACCATCATCATTTAAAATAATGAGAGTATGCAGAAAAATGAAATAGGATCAATATCTCTCATCACTCACCAAAAGTAATTCAAGATGGACAAAGGACTTAAATGTAAGGCATAAAACCGTAAGAATTCTAGAAGAAAATATTGGGAAAACTCTTTTAGATATCAGCCTATGCAAAGAATTTATGAAGAAGACCTCAATGGCAATCACAGCAACAACAAAAATAAATAAATGGGACTTGATTAAATTAAAAAGCTTCTGCACAGCCGGGGAAACAATTAACAGAGCAAAGAGACAACCTAAAGAATGGGAGAAAGTATTTGCAAGCTATATATCCAATAAAGGACTAAGAATAAGAATCTTCAAAGAACTCAAGCAAATCAGCAGGAAAAAAATCAAACAATCCCATTGAAAAGCAGACAAAAGACATGAACAGAAGCTTCTCAAAAAAAGATAGACAAATAGCCAATAATCATATGAAAAAATGCTCAACATCACTAAGCATCAGGGAAATGCAAAAAATCAAAACCACAATGAGATACCACCTTATCCCAGGATGGCTTTTACTAAAAAGTCCCAAAACAATAAATGCTGGCATGGATGCAGAGAGAAAAGAATACTTATACGCTGTTGGTGGGATTGCAAACTAGTACAACCCCTGTGGAAAACTGTATGGAGATTCCTCAAAGAACTAAAAGTTGACCTACTATTTGATCCAGCAGTCCCACTACTGGATATTTACTCAAAGGAAAAGAAGTCATTTTATCAAAAAGACACTTGCACTCTAATGTTTATTGCAACACAATTCACAGTTGCAAAGATGAGGAATCAACCCAGATGCCCATCAATTCATGAGTGGATTAACAAAATGTGGTATATGTCTACCATGGAGTACTACTCAGCCACGAAGAAGGATGACTTAATGCCTTTTTGTAACAATATGGATGGAACTGGAGACCATTATCCTAAGTGAAATATCTAAAGAATGGAAAAACAAATACCACATGCACTCACTATTAAATTGGAACTAACTGATGAGCACACATGTGCACAGAGGGAAGTAAAACTCAGCAGAAAACAAGCAGGGGGGAGGGGGAAGGACAGGATGGGCAAAAACCTACCTAATGGGTACAATAAATACTATCTGGGTGATGGGCACACTTGTAATCATGACTTAAGCATTATAAAAGCCATAGATGTAACAACAACAAAAAAAAGAGCAGAGATTCTTTATTGTTGTTAGTTTTTTTTCTCCCTTTCCAGTAAAATCTTTATTATGATAGAGTGGATGGAAAGGAAAGACAGATGTTAACAAGATAAAACGTTAAAGTCAAAAGATGACTATGTCTCTTCATCATAAACAGTAATGTTCACTTTAACAGTAAAACTCTCATTTGTTTTTATTATTGAACCTATTGGTAACTGTGTAATATAATAAGTAAATATGCTCTGAATACTCAAAACAAAAAAATAATGAGTGGACTTTTGTTGTGATTACTATGTCAAGTATTGCTCTAAGAGATTTCTTTACATTTCCTCCTATTTTGCAATAGCCCTATGAAGGAGGTATTATTATTATTATCATCATCATTATCATCCCCATTTCAGAGGTGAGGAAAATGAGACTTGGTAGTCACACAGGTGGCAAGTACAACCTGAGATGCAAAGTCAGGCTGCCTTACTTCAGCACCCACCCTGTTAACCAGTAGGGTCCAACGGCTACAATCTAACTGACATGGTAAATTCACTCGTTGGTGTTTTCAATTCTATTTCATCTAAAACACCCTTTAAAATGTTTAAATAGATGACAACACATTCTGGTGACAAAACGATTACAACTATTTACCAAACTGAAAACAAAGACTGTGAAAGTCCCTTAAAATAATAATCCGGTCCCTAAAAGACTGGTTACATTTGGTGTCTATTCTTTCATATATATAGGGCTGTCTGGGAAGTATCCAGCCATGTAATATGTTCTCATTATATCAACAATGGCTGGATACTTTCCGACAGCTCTCATATTAAATGGCAATGGGCTATACTACACTTAATTATATATACCTTCTGTCATGTAACTTTTTTTTTAAAAAAAAATCACTTAAAAACATATCTAGGATATCTTTCCATTCTTCTCAATGACTACATTACACTTTATTTAAATTACAGAAATCCAAAATTATTTATAAATTATGTCACAGTTTCACTGGGCTATACTTTTATTTCTTTGATATCTACATTTCATTTTTCTTTTCTTTTTTTTTTTTTTTTTGAGACAGAGTCTCACTTTGTTGCATAGGCTAGAGTGAGTGCAGTGGCGTCAGCCTAGCTCACAGCAACCTCAAACTCTGGGGTCAAGTGATCCTGCTGCCTCAGACTCCCGAGTAGCTGGGACTACAGGCATGCACCACCATGCCCGGCTAATTTTTTCTACATATATAGTTGGCCAATTAATTTCTTTCTATTTATAGTAGAGACGAGGTCTCGCTCTTGCTCAGGCTGGTTTCGAACTCCTGACCTCGAGCAATCCGCCCGCCTCGGCCTCCCAGAGTGCTAGGATTACAGGCGTGAGCAACCGTGCCCGGCCCATTTCATTCTTATTAACGGTGGTTGTTTCAGGGGTATGGGAGGGCAGACTTTTTGGTCTTTGCTTGATTTTATGTATCAAGTCACATCCTCTAAGTTATCCAAATAATATACCCCCCGAAAATCTGGTTTTTTTAAAATCTAGAAAGCAACTAGAAGGATAGGTAATATAAATCCCTTTGGTTACCAGCTAGATAAAATGAAACTCTATGTTACATGTGACATAGATAAAAAGCTTTTGAGCTATGTGAGTTTTTTTATAGTGACTACTTACAAGGTAAAATAGGTATAAAATCCTTTCATTTTTGTTTGCAAATAGCCAGTTTCCAATCAGAGCTACCACCCAACCCACATCTTTTCCTATATCCCTGATTTAAAGATAAGACACCCTGATGTTTCCTTACCTAAGGATTTGAAGACATCTGGGCTAGCATACTTCCCATCAAAGTACACGGTGTTGTTCTGAGAGTCAAAGGCACGGCACATTCTGATGAACACCACCTCTAGAGAACCTAAGCAGAGGCAGAAGTGGTTTGGGTCATTTGATGTCGGTGAGTTTATTTCCAAGGTGCTAACGTGGAGGAGACCCCTTCACTAACAGCACAATGGGTGCTGTGTGCAGTTTGGCTAGCGGGTTCTCAGTGCATCAGCTTTTATCTATCCAAAAGGGTAGAGTTTTCTCTGGAAATTAAAGACTATTGTGCTGAGGCTATAAGGCCTGTTTAACTGAAACAATGATTGGTTTGCAAATTACTTCCTTGGCACCCTTCTACCTTGCAACGTAGACTCTCAAAGGTGCTAGGAAAACATTGATTCATATTTATTAAACCAATCAAAACCAGGAGTTCTTCCTAACAAATTATAAACTCCAGAGGACCTGGAGTATAGAAACAAAATACAGGTGATAGTAAAATTAGGGAATGCAGGTGTCCTTCAAATTAATCTTTTCACCCAGAAGAGAAGTAAAATGGGAGAGAATATTTTCTGAACATGGCTCAGAACCCTTTAAAAAGAACTCAGTTTCTGCAAAGAAAAACCTGAGCTATTATCATTGGAGGAAAACTATTCCCGACACCTTCCTTACCAAGCATTTCTTTAATAAGCAGGTGAAAGCAGGTTAGGGAGAGATCTCAAAATTCACTTGCAAAGCACATACCTGCTTTTAGAAGCACAATTTGATCGTTTTGACACAGTTCCATAAATCCATCAATGCGTTTGGCAAACTCCACCACATACTGTATAGCTTCTGTAATTTTGATGGCACACAATTGCCACATCACCTCCCGCTGCTGTTAAAGAGGGAAACATATTAACATACTCCGGGAAGATGTTATGCTATGTAGCAGAAGCTTAAAAGAAGAGTCATGAAAGCAAAGCATGTCACTGTGTTAGCCCTGGGCCACAGAGAATAGCAGAGTGAGATCTTCTTATAAGCACCTATTTTGCCTCGGGAAATTTAACACCACTTTACTTGGGGAAGGGAAGAGAAGGGGAGTGGATTAAATTTATTGTGCACCTATTATAAGATAGGTGCTTCATGATATCCTTGTCTTAATTCATTTTCATAAGCATATTTTTCTATTTTCCAGAAATGGACACTAAAGCTCACAGAGGTGTCACAGTTAGTAAGTATAGGAGCTAGGATTCCAATCCAGCGTCTCTGACTCTAGAATCCCATTTCACCTGCCTTGCTGCTCCTTACTGTTTTCTTGCTTATTCTTTGCAGCTTTGGCTGCTGATGTGTTGCTATTCCCCAACTTGTCATGTTAAATTCCTTTTATATACTCGCTCTCCATTCAGTTACAGAGTGACCTGGATCTGTTGTGTTATTCACTTATTCCCCCAATCTTAGTGTAAGACTGATTCCACCAATATGACGGGGTGGAAGAAACACTGACTTAGGAGCCAGGAGTCATGGTCTGGTCTGGCTGTTTTACCCTCCAGCCATATGCCAAGGGATGTTAATTTCCTCATATGTAAAATGAAGGGGAGGATTAGCCTAGATAATCTTGTTGATCAGAGTGTTTTATAAAGAAAGGTGAGCAGCAGTACTATTTGTTAGCCTCCTATTGCTAGGTTCAAACTGGAGTTATGAGCATAGCTTCCAAACTTCCTTTGTACACACTTTGTACACAAGAAGGCGTCTGCCTTCTTGTTAACCTCTGGAAACATCAGCCTGAGATTATTTTACATCAACTTCCAGACCTTAAAACCTTCCATTGTGATATCAGGACAAATCTCAATTCATTTAGGCTTTTGGAATCTGCTTAATCTAGTCCCCCGTTGACAAACGGAAAGAGATATGTGTACCCTTATAAAGCACAATAAAAATTGTTATTGCTGAAATTTCACATGCTGACGTCTCAGTAAAATGGCAAAACTTCAAGTACATGAGCAGCTCTGGAAGAAAGATTTTTAAATCAGAAAGAAATCTGATATCTGATGAAAGACACTCATTCTTTGGTCTGTTTGAACTCTTGATCAAATCTCCTGTACCCATACCAGTCCCAACGTTGCCTCAATCGTAGGAAAAATTCCTCAGATTATACCTTGTTTTGATAGTTCTCAATCTCTTCCTGCAGAAAGGTCTGCCACGTTATCTGCTGGAGCTCTTCTCTCAAGTACTGGCAGGTTTCCAGATGTGATTTAGATATATTCTGTGCAAGGTGTTCTAAGGAGAAAACAGGAGATCACAAATATGAAAAGCCAAGTTCTTTCTTTACATAATCAATGGTTTCATATCTGCTTTACAAATTAACAAGTATGAAGCAATGTGCTGAGCCAGTTTTGATTGACTTTACACATTTAAACAAGCAAGTTGGAAATCTTCTGTACTTGGGAACATGAGGCTGGAGGGCAGGGACTTTGCAAAGCCAACATTTGAAAATAAGGCTTGATGACTTTAAAGATCCTCCTGACCTTGACCTTGTTCTGTGCCTCTATGCCAACGTCTAGGAATGAATGACCTAGATAGGTATGGGAAATGATTGACATGGTTTCTTCCTGGCATTTTTATGAAGACGTATCTGCCACATACATTGACCTGGGGAAGATTATTCCTATTCTTGAAAAACTAGGAACTGATATTCTTTTATAATGATAGCTACCCATTCCCCCCCCCCTTTTTTTCCCTGCAAATTGCAGACCGAGCATTACTGAAGGCCAACCACGTGACTTTGTATAGTGTAGTTGTTAAGAGATAGACTTGAGCTAGACTGTTTGGGTCTGTATCTCAGCTATGCAACGTACTAGCTGTGTGATTCGGGGTATGTTACTTAACCTCTCTGTGCTTTGGTTTCCTCATTTTTAATATGAGAGGAAAAGTGCCTATTTCATGGGACTGCTGTGAGAATTAAATGAGTTGAGCACTTAAAACAGGGATCATTACATAGCATGTACCATAAAAACATTAATTATTATTATACTTGAGTATAGGGGGTTTGAAGATGTTAAAGAAATAGATGCCAAAGAATTTTTTCTAGGAATTTATAATCCGGTGAACATGTACGGACATACTGAAAGGACAATTCAAGACATTAGATGAAAAGTATAAAGTTGAATCATATCAGAAGAGAAAGAAAAAAAGATAATAGCTGGCATCAGAAAAGGGAGAGAGTCATGTTGGCAGGGAAACATCTGCATGGGACCCTGAGGGATGGGTAGGATTGGCAGGCAAAGCTCAGTGGTGTCAGGAGGTGGGCCAGCTCCATATAGGAGGGATGGTGCATGAAAGAACAAATGTGGTATTTATAGGGGACAGGTCTCTGTGATAAAGTCATATTGTTAAAATAGAAATATAGGTAGGTTAAAAGTTCAAGTCCTGAGCTTGAATGTTAGGATTGAGTTTGGATTTGATATAACAACAACAACAACAACAACAACAACAACAACAACAAATCAGCAGGATTCTTAAAGGAAAGGTGACATACTGAAATTTGTATCTGGGGAAATAGGGCAAGCACTTTCGTGCGTGGTGGATTGGAGCACAGAGAGGCTTGGGCAGGAGGACCGAGTAGAAAGCTGCTGGAGTCTAGACAGGAGGGACTAAGAGCTTGGAGCAAGTTGGTGGTAATGGTTATGGAAGGGAAGGATGACTGAAGATGTTTTCAAAAAAGAATCGACAAGATTCTGTGAATGTGAAACCACACCAAAAAAATAATTCCCCCCCTCAGGGTCTTGAATATGTAATAGTCAAGCCATTTAAGAGAAGGCAAACTTGGCAACACTAGCAAGAGTGTCTGTTTGAATGAAATTCGTTACTGCTGTCTCCAAACAGAAGCAGGCTTGTTTGTGTGAAGAAAGCTCAGGTTCACTTAAATGGAGCTTGAAACCAGAATCTCCTTAGAGACGCTGAAACATAATAAACACTACGGCCCTACTTGGCAAAACAACAGACACCAAAACAGCAAAAATAAATAATGTGGAAAATCAGACACAAACAAAAGAAAAAATGTAAAGGAAGGAAAGAGACAGGGAGAAACTGAGAGAAAGAGGGAGAAGCCAGCAGATGATGTCTTAGAATCAACGATGCTTGTGAAAAGGAGAAAAAAGACAAAAAACATGGTGGGGATTCAGAAACTAGAATACAAATGTATAAATAAGGTAGTGAACCGTCTCCTACAGAAAGAGCACTCACCATATAAGATTAGTTTCTAGAATGTAAACCGATTTCTGCAGATATGGAAAGAAATGAAGAAAATGAGTGTGCCCGGGGGGAATCTTGTGGGGTGAACACTGGGGAGAGGCTTATGCCATTTTCTTCCAGGTTATGCTTCTTCTCCAGTTAAATGGTGGGCATCTTGTTTCATTCACTTTGTTCTAAAAAATGTTGCCACTTATCCCCCCCCCTGTTCAGAACAGCCAATGGGAAGTGAGACGTCGAGCCCTGCAGTGTGTGTGACACATCAGCAGAGGGCAGTGGCCGCATTCACACCAACTGCTCGCCAGCTGCCTTGGATTCCAGCTCACGGTGGATTTGGCGACTGTTAAGATTTCAGACACTTCGCTATTTTTAAATCTCCATTTTCAGCAAAGAAGGGCATGGTTAGACGGAATAGAAGTTGACAGTTCAGTGTGGTCTCTCAAAGAAACAGCCTGGAATAGTGAAATACATTGGAACTACGAGTGGAGGAGACCTGGTTTCTGGTCTGAGCTCAGCTGACAACTATCTCACTTTGTGGCTGGGCAAGCCAGTTTACCTCCTCGCGCATGACTGCTTCATCAGTACAGCCAAAGTCCAGACACTTCACATGGAAAATCCTGGCTTCTGAGTTAGTCACAAATTTTTATAGGGGGAAGGAACGTTAGGCATCATCTGGTCCCACCTCTCCTTATTTTACAAAAAAATAACGATAATGATGATAATAGTTAACGCTTACATAACATTTACTGTGTGCCAGACCCATATAATTTATAACTATTCTGAATATATATATATATATATATATGTATATTCTTACTTAATTCATACAATTCCAGGAGGAAGGTACTAGTATTATCTCCAGCTTACAGATGAGGAGACTGAGCCACAGGGAGGTTAAGTGACTTCTTCAAGGTGTCCTAGTTGGCAAGTGGTGGAGCTATGATTCGAACACAGACAATATGGCCCTGGGGTCTGTGCTCTCAATCTTTAGATTCTATGGGTCAGGAAACTGCAACTTGCAGAGGTTATGCGACTAATTCTGGGTTGAGCAACTTACAGCAAGGCTGGGACAACAATCCCTGTAACCTGACTTCTTGTCTCATGCTCTGCCCAGTCATCGCTCCTGCATGAAGCTTTAGTTATCAATTGTAGTAACAAACAAAATTAGCACTTTTTTAAAAAAAATAAAGATGAACCTAAGTTGTTTATCTAGAATGGATAATTTAGGTACTAATTGCACACCAAGGGCAAAATTTCATGCTAGCCAAGGATGACGAAGACACGTTTTCCACTAAAAGTAATAGATACTATTGTTGAAAGATAGACTTGGACTTAGGATATGTCAACGTACAATTTTATTTCCCTTTTGTACAATTGGTTTCATTTGTTTAAAATCTGATGACAAAGTTTAGCCTCAAATGAAGTCAAGAGTCTTAGTTAAAGAGATAGCAGGACTAAAGCCCCAAAGAAAATATCAGGGAACTTCAGTAGGTTTGAAGGAGCCGCAAGATAGATGTGGGGGCCACTTTTATGGTACTTTTAGCTCCCTGAACTACAATATACATGTATCTGGGGAAGAAAATTAGAGCCCAATTATGTCCTTTCCAGATAAATTCTGGTTTAGTTTTGGATTGGACACTATTCCTAGCAATGAATTCATTTAATTCATGCTAGAAAAACACCACAACACGTGTGAAGAATCTGTAATTTAAAAGAACACAGAGGAAATAGGAAGACCCAGGGCTCCCAGACTGCACCGGGAAGTGACCATCAGGGACGAGGAAGCTGACTTGTCTGGGAGCCTCAGGGAATTGGCTCGGCCAATCTGGCCCCACTTGGGTATTAGTGCACTTTCGGCTAAAGCGCCATGTTCAAGGGCAACACTTTGCCAAAGGCCTATGGGTTTATTTCAGATGGAACATTTGACAAGCCAACGGGACAGATTCAGTAGTATTAATGTTTAGGTGGAAGCAAACCTAAAGTGAGTCAGGTCATTTTTCATAGCATCATGTCAGCTTTCAATCAAGTCCTTATTCATATCTGAAAATTTTACTTTCATTACAGTTCTGCTTAAGGCTGAGCCAACCAAGATTTCATGACAAAAATGGAAGGGTTTTGTTCTAGTTCAAGAAAAAAAAAAAAAAAATCAAACCTACCTCTGCTCAGCTTGGCTTCTAGTTCAGAGGTTTCTCTGTTAATCAAAAGAGCTGCAATACACCTTTAATGTTGTTCAGTGGTTAAAGACCAGGCTTAAAATGTCCCTGCTCTTGAGGATTTAAATTTAGACCCATAAAGAGATGCTTGTGTAAAAACTGTAAAGAACATTCAATTTGTTCTATTTGGAGAAAGATTTTACTGGAAATATAAATTTTCACTTAAAAGATGTTTGATGGGGTACAGAGGTGGAGAAACCGTCTAAAGAACACAGCCATTATTTCTGTGAACTGAGGATTTCTGTGCCCAAGTCAGAACCTGCTGGTTCTTTGCCATCTGAAGTCTTCATTCTCTCCTCGTATTAACTTAGTCATCTCCACAGCAACTAATTGAAATATCCCAAAGGATTATAACCTTGTGTGAGGAATCACCAGGAGGAACAGATCAAATTCTAAAACTACAAAGGTTCTTATCAAAGTTTCTCTAATAATAGTGCTGTACTTAAAAATCGATTAAAAATAGCAGAGGACGTTAACACAACTTCCTTGAAATGGAAAGTTTTCCATTGTCTGTGTTATCAACATTTCTAGGTCACATCTCCCAAGAAGCAGCCATGTCCTAGCAATAAGAAAATGACAATTTTTTTTTGTGGGCATGGTGAGCCTTTTATGAAATACATCGATTTTGTCAGCAATGACCATCATCAATGCATTTTGGCAAGTAGAGAAGCTAATTTCTGCTTAACATTTACAGTATATATCAGGATTGAAAAACTTAGATACCTACAGGGGCTGTGCAGGTGATATAAATGGGAGAAGTGGGGTGGGCCCATCAAAAGGTGTTAGCTAGCCCCTGGCTAGTGCCGGTTGTCTGCTAACATTCACAAATGCTGGCCCAGTATAAACAGATCATTTCCACCCCCCTCTCAACAAGAAGCTGATATAACTTTCCAGGTTTAAATTTTAGCAATAGATTAAAAAATTTTATAACTCTGCCCTGGAAAAAAATATATGTCTATGGGCCAGGTTCAGTTTGTGGACTGCTGTTTTTTTTTTGTCATCTTAGGTATAAAGCAATACCTGGAATATAACTGAAGTCAATAACTAATGAAGTTAATGTGGTCATTCCCCGAGCTGACAGTTTCCTGCAGAACTTAAAGACTGCTTGTGACTATTTTGTCTCATTCTGATGCTGGGAGGTGAATGCATTTGTTACATATAGAACGGGAAATGGCAGACAGTCAAAAAAGCAAGGGGGAAAGTTGGAGTATGAAGTGGCCCAAATGGGCAGTGAAGGTGAATTTCGTCCTTTTAATAACGTAACTCATTAGAGGAAAGTCAACCACAGCCCTAGTATTTCAAAGGGCATCCCAGTAGAAACATGCATGCCATTACCTAGTTCCGCCATGGACACAGTCGGGGAAGTCTCTCCATTGGTGAACGAACAGTAGGGGAAGAAGCCTGATGCTGGTGTGTAGTCACATATTGGTTCTGGTTTGATTCCATTGATATCAAGACCTGACTGGTCTGGGGAAGGCTGTATGTCCAGGTAGAAGCTGCTGACAGCAGAGTCTGCCTTGCTCCCCTCGGGAGTGTGCCCGTCAATGTAGTTGCTGAGGTCGTCGTGGAGTTCCGTCAGCCCGTTGGCCGAGATGTTGTAGGTGGGTGTCAGCGGCTCGGCCTCCCCGGGCTGCTGTTGGTGGTCGCGCTGCTGCTGCTGCATCCGGTGTTTCTGCACTTCTGCATACAAGCTGTCTCTTTGCTTTTTTGACATTCGGCCAAATTTTACAGCTGGAAGAAAAAAGCCAAACCACACCATAGACAATGTGCTTTCTCTTCATTATCCTCTCCTGCGAGCTTCAGGGTTTCCTTTGAAATCTCAGACAATCTCAGTCCAAAACCACGGGACCACAAGATAAAGATATCATCCAGAGGTAAGGACAGCCCCACCTCGCACAGGCCCACTCCACACCCCCAACAGCAAAACATACATCCCGGAGAAATGAACGTCCCAGAAACTGAGGAGAGAGAGCCCTGGAGAGATGCCACCCCTGCTTTCCCGCTGTCACGTCCCCTAGGCTGCCTGCGTACCACCGATACGTGACTTCACATACGTGCTCACTCTCCACCCGTGCTGCTGGCCCAGACCGCCCACTCCCCTCCAGTGCTCGACCCTGGAGCAAGGCTGCAAACACTCACAGGGCTCATCGAGGCATAAAGCAGTCAAACCTCAACTTTCATCCAGTTCACTCTTCTGTACACTTGAATGAGGTTCTCCTCCATCAAACAGCCAGATCTGGGGCTTCGATGCAAGGCCTGAACACACTGGATGGGGCCTTCGTGACTCCCTGAATAATACCTGCGTCTACGTGATCTGAGAAGCCCCTTGCTCCACCTATGGGTCACGGCAGGTCCCGTGAAACCCTTGGGCCCATGTTTAAATGGCACTTTCTGCTGTTCTCATTTAGACAGCGTCAGGATTTGGGAAGAGCCAAGGCGGTACAAGATCCCTGTTGGATGGATCTGTGTTTGCAACTCTTCTCCTTGGGAGGTGACCCCATAGTAAAGTGGAATGATGACTGTAGTAACTTTCCAGTTCACTTGGAATCTCAAATGATTTCTCCTGAAACACCCAGATAATTTTTTTTAAACAAACCCCAAACCCTATCTATGATTTCCTGGTCTGAATTCTCCCACGAACTCGGTTAACTTCTCGGCTAGACTCTGCATATCCATATGAAGCCTCTGCCGGAGGGACTTAGTTCTCCTAATTGATTCTGGTTACATTTATACCTGGTGGGGAGGAAGAGTTCAGCCATTTGACTATCATCACAGTTATGTGAGTCTGGGCTGGGAGGCAGGATGGATGGATGTGACATTGGGAACCAAGGCTACCATACTGGCCAGCTGGTGGATTCTCTTCCTGCCGAGGAGGACACGCTGTCCTTTTGCACAGAGGAAATAAGTGAGCTGGAATACTGGTCAGTTTTCAGTTTTCATGACTCAGATAACAAACCTGTGTGGGGCTGGGTAGACAGCAACCAGGCTGACGTGGGCTCTGAATTTCAGGCCCATAATCTTATAAGCCCCAGACTTTCCTCCCAGCCTATGACAACTTGTGCTATTTCTTATATGCAAAATTGCCAGAAGGCATACTGAAGATACTTAATTTTTTTGAAAAAAAAAAATACTCCACAACACCCAAAGGAATGAATACCCATAGATGAAACTCGTTCTGCAGTGACTCTGCAATTGTGTTTTACCTTTTGCCTTAATATTAACAACAGTAATCATATCGTCCTGTGAGTGAAATAAGAGGACCAGCTTTTGAGAAAAAGCCCCCACGCATTGTGATTTTAACTTCCAAGTTCATAAGAGATATACCTAACTTTGTCAGTTTAGTGACACTGGATGTTGAAATCTGCAGAGTTGCACTTTTGTGGCGGTGCATGAGGAGTGGCCTCTTAGGATAATGTAAGAACAAAAGTGCACTTGTGCCTGGGAGGGTCCACAGGCGTTAAGGACATCTGATCATGGGGAAGGCAGGCTTTTGCAAAGCCTGCCCTGCGTCCTCAAGTATTTTTCCACAGGCTGAAATTCCACTGGAGGAGGCATTTTCCTTCAAAGGGATCTCTTAAGAGAGCCAGCTGGTATATTTGGAAAACTCCTTAAAATGGACCCGCTGGACTTCCTCCTCCCCAGTTTGCACGTGTGAGCATAACTGTCTTGAAATCTGGTGTTGATTATTCAGTGCACTTAAGATCATTTCCTAGGAAGATCTTGAAATGTTTTGCTATTGAGTGGCACAGCCATGCTTTGCACTCCTGTCACACGTTCTGCAAATGCACAAATAATTGGCTTTGGCATGTGATTCCAAATAACCAGTCGGCATCAAAGCCACTTCATCCCAGCCTCCAGTGAACTTAATAGTGTAAGGCAAGTAACAATCAGTTCTGGCTTGTGTTTCCTACGGGGGGGAAAATGCCTATAGGAGGTATCTGTATGAAGGCCCTCAGATGACACTTACCTTCAATCAATCCACTCACCTGTCACGTCTGAAACATCAAGAATCTGCAGGTGTTCTGACCACAAGACACTGCTCCGCCACACCACTCCCACCCATCAGCCAGTCAGCTGACCCCGACAGAGCCCGGGAGGAAGCAACTTGCAGAGAATGCCATGAAGCTGCCAGAGGAGCCTTGAAGGGGACAGTGAGGAGGTGGCGGAGAGGGCATATTTTGGCAGATCTGGGTCCAGGCTTCAGAAGGCACTTTGACAAACCCATGCTACCGTACAACTCAAGCCGTGAGAGCTCACCATCTCGAGACATCCCCACGGCAAGGCATTTCTGTAATCGGCAGTGTTGGCAGCGGTTTCTACTGGTTCGATCAATCAAGCAGTTCTTCTGACGAGGACAGGAGTAGGTGGCATTGCTTTGCTGACTCCTCCTGAAAAAGCCCTGCGATTCAGTTATAAAATGCAAAACAGGTTAGTGTCAGTTTGAGCAGTAGGATACCAAAGGCAGTATACCAAGCACCGAGCGGCATTAATATTTAATGGAGAATTAAACTTGTAGCAGAATCATCCAGGAGACCATTAATGAAATTAAAGTCACTTCTTTTTCCTTGAGTAAAATAGATCCCCAGAGCCTAATCCTCTGTCCCTTACACATGCAAAACTTTCTTTAACGTCAGTAGACAATTTCGCTATGAAAGATCAGTTTCCTGTTCTTGGCCTCTGAGGCCCCTGCGATCAAAAGCAATGTGCTTGATGGCACCACACAGAGGGACTTCCCTTTAACCTTTATCTCCAGAACATTTTTAGTACAATAAACACAAAACACTTCCCTGGACTGTCCGGAGTTATGGTACACCGTGGTAATCTCCATCAGCCCGCTTGAATCCATGGCCCTTTTGGCATTTCTCACTCCTTAAGTCCGAATCTACTGTCCCGAGCAGCTAGAGGACACTTGGATGGATTATTCTGGCAGATCAATCAGACTGGGGAACACTACTTCAGCCCCGACAGTTTGGAAGTAGCATGTATTCAGATCATGGCCTTTAAGATTTAACAAATCCCAATCTGAAGCTCATCAAGTTCCTCTCACGTGTCAAGCACTGTTTTGGAAATAAGAGGGTGTACAGAGATGCAGAAGGAGCTACTGACCTCAAGAATTTTATTTCTGGTTGTGTTTTTGCTAATTTCCTGAGCTGGATTCTTTGCTCATTAATTTTCAGTGTTTATTCTTTTCTTAAAGCTTGAAGTTTTCTTTTTAGTTATGTTTAGCAGCATACTATGAAAATACTATATAATATTTGCATTACCATTCAGTTGAATGACATGTTCTAATTTTCAATAGATTTTTTTCTTTAACCCTTTTGTGATTTTGTGATTTTTCTTTTGTGATTTTGTGATCTTTCTTTCTTGCTTGCTTGCTCTCTCTCTCTCTCTTCTTTTCTTTCTTTTTTTGAGACAGGGTCTCACTTTGCAACTTCAAACTGCTGGACTCAAGTGATCCCCCTGCCTCTGCCTTCTGAGGAGCTAGGACTACAGGTGTATGCCACCATGTCCAGCTAATTTTTAAATTTTTTGTAGAGATGGGGGGGTTGGTCTCCTTATGTTGCTCAGGCTGATCTTGAACTCCTGGCCTCAAACAATCCTCTCACTTCAGTCTCCCAAAGTGCTAGGATTATAGACATGAGCTATTGCACCCTGACAGTATATTTCTTAACTTCCAGATAATAGGGAGTTTTGGTTATTGTTTATTGTTGACTTATCTTTCAGTAGTTTTGCAAGCTAGGTAGGTATGCAGAAGAAAAATAAGATAATTAGAGTCATTTCTATGAAGCAGAGCCATGAAGGGTACAAAAGGGAATTACTGTCTTCAAAGCTTTACTGGCGAAGACAGATGACCCCAACAAAGGGGACAAGTGGCTAGAGGGAGGTAAAATCCTGAAGAGTCACAGCATGGTAGGCAAACTGATAAGTTCTCTCATCGAAAGATTTTTCTAGAGGCCAATTTGGTAGTTGTATCAGAATCATTAAAAGTAAGCCTACTCATTGAAGCAGTAATTACTTTTTAAGAAATTTACTTTAAAGGAATATTAAGAACAGTACAAAGATTTTCCTACCAGGGGGGCTCTTCACAACACTATCTGTAATACAAAAAATTTTAGAAAGATCTTCTAAGTATCCAACATCAGTCAATTGAAAGAGTCATATTGTATGTTCATACAATGGAATTCATCAACCACTAAAAATGGTAATTTAGAAATATAATTATTGAGGCAGGGGACAGTAGTTCACCCCCATCCTTACCAAAAATAGAAAAATTAGCCAGGTATGGTGGTGTACACCTGTAGTCCCAGCTACTCGGGAAGCTGAGGCCAGAGGATTGCTTGAGCCCAGGAGTTTGACATTGCAGTGAGCTACGATGACTCCACTGCACTCTCATCTTGGTGACAGGCAAAATCTTGTCTCAAAAAAAAAAAAAAAAAAAAAAGCAGTGAAAGAACTAATAATCAAAATTTTTGAGGGGTAAAAAAAGGAACCCATATGTTTTATATAGAAGAAACTTTGGAAAATTATGTCCCAAATTGTTGGCTCTGGTTGGTAGAGCCAATCAGATTTTCATTTTCTTTTTGTTTATCTGTGTTTTGTGATTTTTTTTTTTTCTTATAGTATGCAGGTGGAAAGGTGGATGAGATGAGCTACTTGGGGAGAACAAGCTAGTTCATCTCTCTGTTGTGAAGCTGGGGGCCTTTTAGGTGCACGAAGTTGATGCACGTGACCTCAGTTCCCAGTTCTTTACTTTGGAAAACTAACCTGGGACGGGACAGGGCAGAACCCTGACTCCTGACCCCCTCTCGCTTTTTGCCGAGCTGCTTGCTAACCTCAACAAGGGCAGAGCTGGGGGCTCAGAATTTCAGACCGTCTTTCTGTTGCACTTTAAGTCTATCCTACATCAAGTCTGGCCCCTTCTGTGAAGCAATCTCTCTCTAATCAAAATATCTAAAGCTGTGGGTTTTTTTTTTTTTTTTTTGATTGTTTGTGTGTATCTTTTTCCCCCTGTAAAAGGAAGTGAGAAGCGGCAAAGCTTTCTTTGGGATTTAATGGAGAGAATTCAAGAAAATATAAATGGTCCCAGAGGCAGATAATCCTTAGAAAGCGATAGCAAGAGGTCAGCTGTTGCAGGTATTCATTTTCCTCTGAGACACATAATCTCTGTCAAAGCTGAAAGGGGTTTATCTCTTTCCCGAGACTGTCCCACCACTCAGTGTTTGTCCCCACCGTGGGTCCCAGGATCAGGAGTTTATTTGCTTTCTCTTTAATTGGAGTCAAACTTGTCTGTTTCATATTAAGCCTGTTACAGTTTGTTTTACGATCATTTCTTTCTTTAAATAGGACCAGTCCTTGAGGGCCGCCAAGCTGTCTCCTAGATACCCCTTCTACAGACCGAATCACACCATGCCACCTTTGGTGCTGGGCTCCTTCCCACCTTTGGTATTTCCCAGGAACCTCTTCAATATCTTCCCTGTTTTAGAAAGCCTGTACTCCGGAACTAGGCACAGCTCTTGGATGATGGTGGGGTCATTAAGGAAAAGGATGGCACTTTTTAGTTTCCACTTATTAACTTAATGTCAAACCTCCAGACATGAGGTTCCAGACTGACATCACGGAAGCCACACAGAACCATCGGTCTGAGAGGGCATGAGGATGATGATGATAGATAGATTATCAGTCTTAATGAGTGCTTGTGTTAATCATGTCTTTTTATTCTATATTTTTGAATGCTTTGCTATCTTAGGGCCTTGCAGACCCTGGAGAGACTGCCCTTCCTGGGTCTAGCTAATTCCTACAGATGGCAAGCACCCTGCCCGCAGTATGCCTTTCCTATGCAAACCAACCAAGCAGAGCCCACACCCCAACCACCTCCTTACCAGGCTCTTATACTTCCAACCACTATCCTCCTACCCCAAGCATCCCAGGGCCAGGTACCAGACAACTAGGGACAGCCTCTATGCCCAGCACCCTCTGTAATCATCCCAACTAGCCAATCCTAAAGCTGCTCACCCTGCCTTGCATGTTCCTTCATGTAGAAACCATGACAGATGCTCTTGCCCATGTTTTCCCCTCACCCCTTTGACAGACCCTTGTGCCTCCCCATGTGGCCCCCAGCATGGCGTGCCAGGGATATTGATTCTAGGGATTTGTCAGTATAGTCGTCCCCCCTTATATGGGTTTTTTTTTTTTTGAGACAGAGTCTCACTTTGTTGTCCAGGCTAGAGTGAGTGCCGTGGCGTCAGCCTAGCTCACAGCAACCTCAATCTCCTGGGCTCAAGCGATCCTCCTGCCTCAGCCTCCTGAGTAGCTGGGACTACAGGCATGCGCCACCATGCCCGGCTACTTTTTTATATATATATATATCAGTTGGCCAATTAATTTCTTTCTATTTATAGTAGAGACGGGGTCTCGCTCTTGCTCAGGCTGGTTTTGAACTCCTGACCTTGAGCAATCCGCCCGCCTCGGCCTCCCAAGAGCTAGGATTACAGGCGTGAGCCACAGCGCCCGGCCTATATGGGGTTTTTGCTTTCCAAGTTTCAGTTACCTGTGGTCAACTGTAGTCCCCCAAAATTATGATACTTCAAGAGAGGGAGAGATGCCACATTCACATAACTTTTATTACAGTATATTGTTATCATTGTTCTAGCTTCTTATTGTTGTTGTTAATCTCTTACTGTGACTGATCTATAGATTAAACTTTATCATAGGCATGTATATATAGGAAGAAACATAGCATGCATAGGGTTCAGTACTATCCGAGGCTTTAGGCATCCCCTGAGGTTAAGGGGGACTACTATACAATCAACTTCTTCCTTCATGATAGCCATTTCTGTATCTGTGTGACTTACAATACCTGATTAAAACAGATCCCAGTACCATTAAAACAGTACTTACTATGAAGTTCATGCTTTCTGTATATTGCGACAGTTAATGGTGACAAGGACAATATAGGGCAGGAACTACCACCTCCCCGGATGTAAGGGTGAAGAAACTGAGGCTGAGGGAGGTCCAGTGACTTGCTCAGAGTCGCACTTCTAGCAACAGGCAAAGCCAGGATACGAACTCACATAGTTTAATTCCAGAACTCACACTGCTACCCTTTTTGTTTTTCTGCTTCTCTTGTGTGCCAAAAGAATTCCTCTCTGGTTGTTCTCATAGAGGGCGACCATTAAATTAGGCAGTGTGAAAACACAAGGTATACATGACAAAGTCGCGGGACTGATCTACTCTGAAATTAGTGTTTTCCTTCACATTCGCCCCTTTAGCTGACCCAGGTTGTCACTGCCCAGACATTTCACAAGATTCTCTCTTGCAGCTGCATCTTGATTTGGGTTAGAAGTCCCAGAAGAAAATCAGTCTCATGATTACTCATAATTTTCCCTCATTTCCGACCAG